TTGGGTGGTGATGGCACGATCGTCAGCATAGATGAAACTCTCTGTCCCTTCTGGCAGTGGCAAGTCATTTGTGTAAATGTTAAACATAGATGGAGTAAGCTGGCTTTCCCTGTAATAGGCAGTAAGAGCACCTAAACCTTCAGAGAGCTTCTGTTCAACCATTTCAAAGCTCCCTGCTTGGGCGGTGATGGCACGATCGTCAGCATAGATGAAACTCTCTCTGTCCCTCCTGGCAGTAGCTGATCATTTGTGTAAATGTTAAACTTGGATGGAGCAACCTGGTTTTCCTTTTAGAAGGCAGTAAGAGCACCTAAAGCTTTGGGGAGCTTCTGTTCAGCCATTTCAAAACTCCCTGCTTGAGTGGTGATGGCACGATCGTCAGCATAGATGAAACTCTCTCTCCCTTCTGGGAATGGCTGGTCATTTGTGTAAATGGAAAAGCACCTAAAGCTTTGGAGAGCTTCTGTTCAGCCATTTCAAAGCTCCCTGCTTGGGTGGTGATGGCGCAATCGTCAGCATAGATGAAACACTCTGTCCCTTCTGGCAGTGGCTGGTCATTTGTGTAAATGTTTAATTACCAGCTGCATTAAATCTTTCCAACCAAAAGTTCAGATATGTTTACAGCTTCAATTCAGACACATTTACAATAATAATAATAATAATAATAATAATAATAATAATAATAATAATAATGCCCCATTGTTGTTGTTGTTGTTGTTATTATTATTGGATTGTTGTAGGTTTTTCGGGCTAGATGGCCATGTTCTAGAGGCATTCTCTCCTGACGATTTCTCCTGAATCTATGGCTGGTTCATCAGGTGCTCTGATGACCTCACTACCTCTGAGGATGCTTGCCATAGATGCAGGCGAAACGTCAGGAGAAATGCCTCTAGAACATGGCCATATAGCCCGGAAAAACCTACAACAACCCAGTGATTCCGGCCATGAAAGCCTTCGACAATACATTATTATTATTATTATTATTATTATTAAAATGAATATAATAATAATAATTCAATCTGCAAAACCAAACAAAGGAAAATATGGAATTTTCTTTGGATCTTGTAATTATCTATTATTAATTAATTAATAATTTCAATAATAATCGATATTACTGTCCCATTATTATTACTATTGTTATTAAAATGAAAATAATAGTAATAATAATAATTCAATCTGCAAAACCAAAGGAAGGAAAATATGGACTTTTCTTGGAACTTGCAATTATTATCTATTATTAATTAATTAATAATTTCAATAATAATCATTATTAATGCTCCATTATTATTATTAATATAAATAATAATAATAATAATAATAATAATAATTTGATCTGCAAAACCAAAGGAAGGAAAATATGAACTTTCCTTGGATCTTGAAATTATTATCTATTATTAATTAATTAATAATTTAAATAATAACCGTTATTACTGTCCCATTATTATTATTGTTGTTATTAAAATGAAATTAATAATAATAATAATAATAATTCGATCTGCAAAACCAAACGAAGGAAAATATGGAATTTTCTTTGGATCTTGTAATTATCTATTATTAATTAATTAATAATTTCAATAGTAATCATTATTACTGTCCCATTATTATTATTGTTATTAAAATGAATATAATAATAATAATAATAATTCAATCTGCAAAACCAAAGGAGGAAAATATGGACTTTCCTTGGATCTTGGGATTAATGCCTTATTATTATTATTATTATTATTATTATTATATTCATTTTAATAATAATAATAATAATAATAATAATAATCCAATTTGCAAAACCAGGGAGGAAAATACAATCTTCCCTCCTTTGATTTTGGGAAGGGAAATAAAGCTTGCAATTATTATCTATTAATTAATTAATTAATTAATTAAATAACAATCAATATTAATGCCCTATTATTATTATTATTATTAAAATGAATATTAAAAATAATATTTCGGCTTGCAAAACCAAGGAGAAAAATAACCCCCTGCTTTCCCCTCCTTGGATCTTGGGAAGGGAAAGAAAGCTTGCAATTACGACCCCGACAATGGGCATTTCATCTGCATTTTCGACGTCTCCCCGTCCTCCAAACACCTGACGGTGGTGTAATTAATCCCTCAGAAAGGCATAAAACGGTGTGCATTAGGGCTCCGAACAAAGCGGTTAACAGGCGGCTCAAGGGGAGGAAGGGGGCGGAAGGGGCCCATTAAGTAAATGTGTCATATTTCCCTTTCTTACCCCCCCCCCCCATACGCTTTCAATAGGGAGGTGACAGGTAAATAATGAAAACCAGGCAGATGGATGGATGGATGGAAGGATGGAAGCAAGGCAACTCCTTGATCTGAAAGGGGACCCCAAAGGCCATCCAGGCTGACCCCGTTTGTGCAGGTACGAACCTCAAGGCGTTGATGTTGATGAACCCAGTGGCATCCGACGGCTGGTAATCCCCTTGGACATCCATGCTGCGAGGAAGGAAGTAGTTGCGAGATTGTAAACAATCCTCGATTTTTTAAGGGGGTACCCTGAGGTCATCTAGTCCTAACCCCATTCCGCCTGATGCAGGAGATTGCCGGCTCATGAAAAACCCCTTTTAGAATGTACATCCAGAGAAGGAGACCCCAACCCATATATAGACACACATACACACACACGCACGCGCGCACGCACACACCCACATTCACCATATATATATACATATATATGCACACACACATATATATACACACAGCATATATATATATATATGCATAAACATACATGCAACACACACTCACATCATATATATGCATAAACATTCATATATAAACACACATATACACACATCATATATATATATGTGTGTGTGTATAAACACACATATACACACATCATACATGTGTGTATAAACAAACCTAAACACACACATCATATACCTATATATCTATACATACATACATACATATATATATATATATATATATGCATTAACATACACACACATACATATATATGGATACTATGTTGCACTTTTGGGATGATACAGAAGAAAAGTTATTACTTCCCTCATATATGTATATGTGGTGTGCATGTGTGTGTGCGTGTGTGTATATATATATATATATATATACACACACACATATACAATGGCACCATATATATACACACACATACCCTATACTATATATACACACATACACACACATATCACATATATACACACACACATTTTATATACAGATGTACCATATATACTCACCTACCCACTGATTATGGACACACACACATTTTATATATACACACACACCTTATATATGTTTACACACACATTTTATACATACCTATGTATACATCATATAAACACCATATACATATATATATATATATATATATACCACACATATATATAAACACATACACATACACAGATACATGTGTATGTGTGTGTAGCTATGCATGTATGTATATGTGTGTGTGTATATATATATATATGGAGAAGAAAAGTTAGGATTTTCTTTCATATGCATATGCACACACGCACAGGCTCTATATATATATATATATATATATATATATATATATATATATATATATATATATTCTTTCATATATATTTATATATATGAAAGAAAATCCTAACTTTTCTCCTCCATCACCCAAAAGTGCGAAATACTATTTTCTGCTTCCTTCCTTAATTTATTAAAAAGGATTTGGGGAGAAGATGGGGACGATGGGTCGGCGGTGGGAGGGAGGAAAAGAAAGAAAAGAAAGGAAAAGCAAAGAAAAGAAAAGCAAGAAAGCGCCGGCCAGCCCTCGGGTTGCTTTTTATTCCTGCTCATCCGTGTGGCGGCGACCTGCTCTATAATTATGTTACTTTCTACCGACTGTGCGGCGGAGGCACTTTTTGGCGCCGCGCGATCGGCGCACCTCTCGCGCCGTCACTCAAAGCCCCTTTCGAAACATAGGAAAATCAAAGGGGAAAAAAAGGAAAAGAATGAGAAAAATAGAGGAAATGGATGGAGGCACACCGGGCGGATAAGTGCCCCGCTCTCCCCCCTTTCATGCCTCCCCGTCTCTCTCTCTCTCTCTCTCTGTGCGCAAAATGCGCCACCGCGCTTTCTTTTTATTTCTATTTTCCTTTTGACATTATTCGTTTCAAAGAGCGTAATGACGGGTTGGGGAGGGATGATTAGGCCGCAAAGGGAAAAGGAGGATAATTTGAGGCTCCTTCGACCGATCGCAAGTCAAATCCAAGGGAGGATAGCCTGGCGTTTATTCCGAGGGATCGGAAATAAAATAAAGTAAATAGAAGGGATCGCTTGACATTTATTCCGAGGGATCTAAACCGATTCGGATACGTTTACGGCTCGGATTCAGATGTATTTAGGGATACATTTACGGCTCCGATTCGGATACGTTTACGGCTCTGATTCAGATGTATTTAGAGCTACGTTTACGCCTCTGATTCGGATATGTTTACGGTTCCAGTTCAGACACATTTACAGCTACGTTTACAGCTCCGATTCGGATATGTTTATGGCTCAGATTCGGATACTTTTAGGGCTCCAATTTGGATACATTTACGGCTTTGATTCGGATATACCTATGGCTCCGATTTGGATACGTTTACGGTTCCAGTTCGGACACGTTTACAGCTACATTTACGGCTCCGATTTGGATACATTTACAGCTCCGATTCTGATATATTTATGGCTATGTTTACAGCTCTGATTCAGATACATTTAGGGCTCAGATTCGGATACTTTTAGGGCTCCAATTCGGATATATTTACGACTTTGATTTGGATATGGCTCCGATCTGGATACGTTTACAGCTCTAATTCAGATATATTTAGAGCTATGTTTACAGTTCTGTTTCGGATACGTTTACGGCTCCAATTCAGATAAATTTACAGCTATGTTTATGGCTCTAATTCAATATATTTACAGCTCCAATTCTGATATGTTTATGGCTATGTTTACAGCTCTGATTCAGATACATTTAGGGCTCAGATTCGGATACTTTTATGGCTCCAATTCGGATAAACTTACGAATCCGATTCAGATACATTTACAGCTTCGATTCAGATAGGATTTGGATATATTTATGGCTATGTTTATAGCTCTGATTCAGATACATTTAAGGCTCAGATTCAGATATTTTTGGAGCTCCAATTCGTATATATTTACGACTTTGATTCGGATATGGCTCCGATTCGGATACGTTTACGGCTCTAATTCAGATATATTTAGAGCTACGTTTACGGTTCTGATTTGGATACGTTTACGGCTCCAATTCGGATAACTTTACAGCTATGTTTACGGCTCTGATTCAATATATTTACAGCTCCAATTCTGATATGTTTATGGCTATGTTTACAGCTCTGATTCAGATACATTTAGGGCTCAGATTTGGATACTCTTATGGCTCTGATTCGGATACACTTACGAATCCAATTCAGATACATTTATAGGTCCGATTCAGATATGTTTACGGCTCTGATTCAGATATGTTTAGGGCTCCAATTCGGATACTTTTGGAGCTCCATTTCGGATACATTTACGGCTTCGCTTCGGATACACTGATGGCTCCGATTCGGATACATTTATGGCTTTGATTCCAATACACTTATGGCTCCAATTTGGATATATTTACAGCTCCGATTTAGATACTTTTGGAGCTCCATTTCGGATATCTTTAAGGTTCCAATTCCGATACGCTTATGGCTCCGATTCGGATACATTTACAGCTCCAATTAGGATATATTTATGTTTACAGCTCTGATTCGGATGCTTTTATGGCTCTGATTCGGATACATTTACGGGTTTCGATTTGGATACATTTACAGTTCCGATTCGGATATGCTTATAGCTCTGATTCGGATACATTTATGCCTCTGTTTACAGCTCTGATTTAGATATGTTTAGGACTTTGATCTGGATACTTTTACAGCTCTGATATGTTTATGGCTCTGATTCAGATACATTTATGGCTATGTTTACAGTTCTGATTCAGATATGTTTAGGGCTCCGATTAAGATACTTTTTCGGCTCTGATTCCACTATACTTATGGCTCTGATTCGGATACACTTACAGCTCCAATTCGGATATCTTTAAGGCTCTAGATACACTTATAGCTCCAATTCGGATACATTTACAGCTCCGATTCTGATATGTTTATGGCTATGTTTACAGCTCTGATTCAGATACATTTAGGGCTCAGATTCAGATACTTTTATGTCTACGATTCGGATGCACTTACGGATCCGATTCAGATACATTTACAGCTCCGATTCAGATATGTTTATGGCTCTGATTCGGATACTTTTAGGGCTCCAATTCGGATAGATTTACGGCTTTGCTTTGGATACATTTACAGCTCCAATTCAGATACATTTATGTTTACAGCTCTGATTTGGATGCGTTTAGGGCTCCGAATCAGATGCTTTTAGGGTTCCGATTTGGATTTGTTTACAGCTTTGATTCGGATGTGCGTATGGCTCTGATTCGGACACAATTATGGCTTTGAGTCGGATATATTTATGCCTGTGTTTACAGCTCTGATTTAGATATGTTTAGGTCTTCGATCTGGATACTTTTACGGCTCTGATTCAGATACATTTACGGCTTTGATTCAGATATGTTTAAGGCACAGATTCAGATTTGATTATGGTTCTCATTTGCATACATTTGTGGCTCCGGTTCGGACGTGTTTACAACTTTGATTCAGATACATTTACGGCTTTGATTCAGATATGTCTGGCTCTGATTTGGAAACATTTATGGCTTTGGTTTGGAGACGTTTATGGCTCCAGTTCGGATATGCTTATGGCTCCGATTAAAATCTGATTCGAATACATTTATGTTTCTGATTCGGATTAATTTATGATACATTTACAGCTTTGGCTAGGCTTTAGCACAGCAGGTTAACCACCAGCTGTAGTAAATCTTGCCAAGCGAAAGGTTGACAGTTCAAAACTTGGGTCAGGGTGAGCTCCTGGCCTTTAGCCCTGCTTCTGCCTACCTAGCAGTTTTGAAAACAGCAATGTGAGTAGATAAATAGGTACAGCTTAAGCTGGGATAAAGACCTGGAAGACCAAGATAGCTCGTCTGGGGGAACAGCTGGGCTAGACAGAGATATCAAGCTCGATCTTAGGGAGGAAAACATCAAGCTCAGGAAATCAAGGAGGCTTCGTGAGAAGGAAACACAGAGAAAAATTCACAAGCCAGAAAGCCAAGGTCAAAGAAACGACTTCATGTTTTGCAGTCCTCTTTGGGAATTCAGATCAGGCAACGCTGCGAAGCGGTGAGGATATCTCGCCCTGCTCCAGTTCATGGTTCTCGTCTAAGGTCTTGGGAGTTTTGGTTATGGAATTTTCTGCATTCATGTTCATGTTTTGATTCTTGTTTTCTGGATCTGAAGAGGGAGAGGTGTTACCTGACCAGCTCCTGGTTGTACAAGGAAACGGCAGAGTCCCTTCCCAGGATGGAGGCCTGGCCCTTGAAGACGCTCACGCGGACCCTCCCTTCCACCATTTCCTGGGACTGCGCCAGGCAGCACCGGACAAATTCGCACTCAGGGCTGAACCAGAACCCTAGGCAGAGAACGGAGGGACAACAGCTTGCAAACCCCAATGGCCACAGATATATACATGCAGTCCAAATGGGCTCAGGCACGGGTTGCGTGCCCCAAACACTATCACCACAAGACCACAGGGAGAAATGTAGATTTAAACTGGTTTAAATATGGGCGAGATGTAATGATGCTATTGCAACAGGGCTCTAGGTATCAAAATATGTACACTGATGCTATAGGGCTCTAGATATCAATACATGTACCCTCATGCTATTGCAATAAGGCTCTAGATATCAATATATGGGCACTGTTGCTATTGCAATAAGGTTCTAGATATCAATATATGGACTGATGCCATTGCAATAGGCTCTAGATATCAATATAGATGCACTGATGATACTGCAATAAGGCTCTAGGTATCAATATATCTGCACTGATGCTATTGCAATAAGGCTCTAGATATCAATATATGTACGCTATTGCAATAAAGCTCTAGATATCAATATATGTACGCTATTGCAATAAGTCTCTAGAAATCAATAAAGGTGCACTAATGCTATTGCAATAAGGGTCTAGATATCAATACATAGACACTTATGCTATTGCAATAAGGCTCCAGATATCAATATAGGTGCACTGATGGTATTGCAAAAAGGCTCTAGATATCAATATAGGTGCACTGATGGTATTCAAATAAGGGTCTAGATATCAATATATGGACACCTATGCTATTGCAATAAGGCTCTAGATATCAATAAAGGTGCACCAATGCTATTGCAATAGGGCTCAAGATATCAATATATGTATACTGATGCTATTGCAATAAGGCTCTAGATATCATTATATGTGCACTGATGCCATTACAATAAGGCTCTAGATATCAATATATGGACACTGATGCTACTGCAAAAAGGCTCTATATATCAATATATGTATACTGATGCTATTGCAATTTTTTTTGTCGTGTCTCTACATATCAATATATGGACATTGATGCCATTGCAATAGTGCTCTATATATCAATATATATGCACTGATGCTATTGCAATAAGGCTCTAGATATCAATATATATAAATTGAGGCCATTGCAATAGGGCACTAGATATTAGTTATTATTTCTACCGCTGTTGTTATTGTTATTATTAATATTATTATTAGTTATTATTATTACTGTTATTATAATTATTAATATTATGCTTAGTTATTATTACTACTGCTGTTATTGTTATTATTAATATTATTATTAGTTATTATTATTACTGTTGTTATTGTTATTATTAATATTAGTTATTATTACTGTTGTTATTGTTGTTGTTGTTATTATTAGTTATTATTATTACTGTTGTTGTTATTGTTGCTATTATTAATATTATTAGTTATTATTTTTACTGTTGTTATAATTATTAGTTATTATTATTACTGTTGTTATTGTTGCTATTATTAATATTATTATTAGTTATTATTATTACTGTTGTTCTTGTTATTAATATTATTAGTTATTATTATTACTGTTGTTATTGTTGTAATTATTAATATTATGCTTAGTTATTATTATGACTGCTGTTGTTATTGTAATTATTAATATTATTATTAGTTATTATTACTGTTGTTGTTCTTGTTATTATTAATATTATTATTAGTTATTATTACTGTTGTTCTTATTATTAATATTATTAGTTATTATTATTACTGTTGTTCTTGTTATTATTAGTTATTATTATTATTAGTTATTATTATTACTGTTGTAATTATTAATATTATGCTTAGTTATTATTACTGCTGCTGTTGTTATTGTTATTATTAATATTATGCTTAGTTATTATTATTACTACTGCTGTTTTTATTGTAATTATTAATATTATTATTAGTTATTAGTACTGCTGTTGTTATTGCTGTTATTAATATTGTTAGTTACTATTATTATTACTGTTGTTGTTACTGTCGCTATTATTAGTATTATTATTATTAATGTTGTTGTTATTGCTGTTATTTCTGGTCACCACAAAGTGAGTCCTCTCTGGGTCTTCTGTGGGTCATCCAGCACAACCCGATGGCCTTCTTGGGCCACAGTGTATGGACCTCTGAGGCCTTGCACATGTTGCGAAGCAGAGACTGGCGCTCGGGGCTTTGCACCCGCGACAGGAGATTCGAACCCAGGCCGCTCACCATTGTAGACCATGTGGGCGAACTTCCTGGCCAGGCCTTGCTTGACCTTGCGCACTTCCCGGTCCAAGGCGAGGGCCTCGAGGTCGAGGTGGGCTTGGTGCAGGAGGGTCCCGCCCGGCGTCTCGTAGATCCCTGCCGGAGCCAGGAAGGGAAGAAAGGAGCGACAAGAGCTGTCAAGGAGGGAACAAACGACAGGCCGGCAGGCGGGCGCAGGGAGAAAGGTATAATGATCCGGCTGACGGAAGGCTCAGCTTGCGGCCGAAGGCGGCTGTCATTATCGCCCCGCTGGGCCCTGCCACTGGCGGGACACTGGGCCGCCCCGTGCCGAGAAAATGGCTAGATTCCCGCTCGGTGGAGAGGCCCTCCAGCCAGGCCAAATGACAGGGTAGCCCCTCCGCTCAAGGCCCACCAAAGACCCGGGCATGCAATTACGGGGAGGGGGGGGGGAGAGGACGCCTCCAACCGGGCGGAAGGCTCCCCCTCCACCCCCCCACCCCACCCCACTCAGGAAAGGAGGAACGGAGAAGAGTGAGAAAGGAGAGGGGGGGAAGAGAGAAGAGTGGAAAGGAGAAGAGTGAGAAAGGAGAGGGAGGAAAGAGGGAAGAGTGGAAGAGGGAAGAGAGGAAGGAGAGTGAGAAAAGAGAGGGAGCAGAAAGGGAAAGAGGTTGAAAGAGTGGAAGAGGGAAGAGAGGAAGGAGGAAGAGTGAGAAAGGAGAGGAAACAGAAAGGGAACATGTGGAAGGAGGAAAGAGGGAAGAGTAGAAGAGGGAAGAGAGGAAGGTGAAAAAGTGAGAAAGGAGAAAGAGTGGATGAGTGAGAAAGAGAGGGAATGGATGAAGGAATAATGAAAGAGGTAAGGGTGGAAGGAGGAAGAGTCAGAAAGGAGAGCGAGTGAAAGAGGGAAGAGTGGATGAGTGAGAAAGAGAGGGAATGGAAGAGGGAATAGTGAAAGAAGGAAGAGTGGAAGGAGAAAGAGTGAGAAAGGAAAGAAGAAGAAAGGGAAAGAGATAGAAAGAATGGTGAGAAAAGCATGGAAGGAGGAATGATGGAAAAGAAGAAGGAGAAAGAGTAAGGAAGGAGAGAGAGTGGAAGAGGGAAAGCGAGGAAGAGTAGAAGAGAGAAGAGAGGAAGGAGGAAGAGTGAGAAAGGAGAGGGAGTGGAAGAGGGAAGAAAGGAAGGAAGAAAAGTGAGAAAGGAGAGGGAGCGGAGAGGGAAAGGAAAGAGGGAAGATTGGAAGGAGAAAGAGAGAAAGGAAAGGAGCAGAAAGGGAAAGAGGTAGAAGGAGTGGAAGAGGAAAGCGTGGAACGGGGAAGAGTGGAAGAGAGAAGAGAGGAAGGAAGAAAAGAGAGAAAGGAGAGGGAGCGGAGAGGGAACACATGGAAGGAGGAACAGGTAGAATGAGTGGAAGAGGAAAGTGTGGAAGGAGGAAGAGTGAGAAAGGAGAGCGAGTGGAAGAGGGAAGAGTGGAAGGAGAAAGAGTGAGAAAGGAAAAGAGCAGAAAGGGAAAGAGATAGAAAGAGTGGAAGAGGAAAGTGCAGAAGGAGGAAGAGTGGAAGAGAGAAGAGAGGAAGGAGGAAGAGTGAGAAAGGAGGGAGAGTGGAAGAGGGAAGAGTGGAAGGAGGAAGAGTGAGCAAAAAGAGGGAGGTGAAGAAAGAGAGAGGAGGGGGGAAGAGTGAGAAAGGAGAGAGAGTGAAAGGGAAGAGAGGAAGGAGGAAGAGCAGAAAGGAAAAGAGTGGAAGGAGAAGAAAGAGCACATAGAGAAAGAGAGTGAGAAAGGAGAGAGAGTGAAAGGGAAGAGAGGAAGGAGGAAGAGCAGAAAGGAAAAGAGTGGAAGGAGAAGAAAGAGCACATAGAGAAAGAGTGTAAGAGAAAAAGTGGAAAAGAAGAGGGAATGGAAAAGGGAAGCATGAAAGGAGGAAAAGGTAGAAAGAGTGGAAGAGGAAAGCGTGGAAGGAGGAAGAATGAAAGAGGAAGGAGGAAGGAGAAAGAGGGAAAGAAGAGGAAAGCATGGAAGGAGGGAGAGAGGGAGGAGAGAGAGTAGAAGGAGAAAGAGGGAAGAGAAGAAGGTGGAAGAGTGAGAAAGGAGATGAACGGTTTGATATTTTCCACCTTTTGGGTGCTTCGCTTGCAAGGGAAGAACGCGACGAGCGCAATTAAACCGTCTGCTCTTGAAAACGATGTTAAAAATGGTGTTAAAAAACTTAATGTGGACTAATAAAAAAGAGGGGGAGAGAGAGAAGAAAGAAGGATTTCTCTGGGAGCGTTCATCTCTTCCTTGAAAAGAAAACGCGAGGAAGGGGAGTGCGAGAGACGGACGGCTGTAATATTTCCATCTGACGCGGTGACAGCCGAAAAAGCCCGAAAAAGCGCTTCTCGGCGTGTTCTTTGACAGCCGGCGAGGCCCAAAATGACACCCGTTTGCCGTCGTGGCATTTCCATCACTCCGCGTGTGTGTTTACACAGAAAGAGACATGCGTGTCAGAGGCAGAGGGGCGTCTTGACGGAAAGAAGGAAGGAAGGAAGGAAGGAAGGAAAGAAGAAGGAGAGACGCGCGTAATTGCAGGATTCAAGGGAAAGAAGAGAAAAGAAAAGAAGAAAGCAAAGAAAGAAAGAAAAAGAAAAGACAGGCAGGCAGGTGCTGCTGTCAAAAAACAAGGCCTCCTTCCCAACCTAGAAGGGAGCAAAAGGGGCATCTGCACCACAGAATTAATGCAGTTTAGTGGCAACATCCTGGGAGTTGTAGTTTCACAAAGTCATTATATAGTTGTAGTTCTACAGGGTCGTTGTGATGCGCTATATGAATCGACACTGGCCACGTTTACGTAGCCTGAAACTGCATTGTGTGGCAATCAAGAGCTAGACTACCTCAAGGCTATGGGATCCTGGGAGTTGTAGTTTCACAAAGTCATTATATAGTTGTAGTTCTACAGGGTCGCTGCGATGTGTTATATGAATCGACACTGGCCACGTTAACGCAGCCTGAAACTGCATTCTGTGGCAATCAAGAGCTAGACTATATCAAGGCTATGGGATCCTGGGAGTTGTAGTTCTACAAGGTCATTGGACTGCATTATAAGAGTCTGCAATGACCGTACGATGCAGTTCGAAAATGCACGATATGGCAATCTAGATCTAGACTATCTGCCCTGGCTCAATGCTATGGGATCATGGGAGTTGTAGTTTCACAAGGTCGTTGGACTGCATGATATGACAATCTGGATCTAGACTATCTGCCCCGGCTCAAGGTGAAGGAATCCTGGGAGTTGTATAATCCTGGAAATTATAGTTTCACAAGGTCATTCGAATGCATTATATGAATCTACACTGACCATACAATGCAGTCTGAAAATGCATGATATGGCAGTCTGGATCTAGACTATCTGCCCCAGCTCAAGGCTATGGGATCCTGGGAGTTGTAGTTCTACAAGGTCATTGGCATGCATTATATGAATCTACACTGACCATACGATGCAGTTTTGTGACAATCTAGATCTAGACTATCTGTCCCAGCTGAATGCTATGGGATCATGGGGGTTGTAGTTTCACAAGATCGTTGGACTGCATGATATAACAGTCTGGATCTAGACTATCTGCCCCGGCTCAAGGCGAAGGAATCCTGGGAGTTGTAGTCCTACAAGGTCATTGGACTGTGTTGTATGAATCTACACTGATCATACAATGCAGTTTGAAACTGCATAATATGACAATCTGGATCTAAACTATCTGCCCTGGTTCAAGGCTATGGGATCCTGGGAGTTGTAGTTTCACAAGGTCATTGGAATGCATTAGATGTCTCTACACTGACCATACGATGCAGTCTGAAAATGCATGATCTCACAATCTGGATCTAGACTATCTGCCCCGGCTCAAGGCTATGGAAATCTGGGAGTTGTAGTTTCACAAGGTCGTTCAAATGCATTATATGAGTCTACACTGACCATTCAATGCAGTTTGAAACTGCATTATATGGCAATCTGGATCTAGACTATCTGCCCTGGATCAAGGCTATGGAAATCTGGAAGTTATAGTTTCACAAGGTCGTTGGAATGTATTATATGAATCTACACTGACCATACAATGCAGTTTGAAAATGCATCATGTGGATCCTGGGAGTTGTAGTTTCACAAGGTCACTGGACTGCATTATATGGGTCTACACTGACCAGTGCAGTTTGAAACTGCATTATATGGCAATCTGGATATAGACGATCTGCCCTGGCTCAGGGTTATGGAAATCTGGAAGTTATAGTTTCACAAGGTCATTGGATTGCATTATATGAACTTACACTGACCATATGATGCAGTCTGAAAATGCATGATATGGTAGTCTAGGTCTAGACTATCTGCCCTGGCTCAAGGCTATGGGATCCTGGGAGTTGTAGTTCTACAAGGCCGTTGCACTGCATTGTATGAGTCTACACTGATCATATGATGCAGTTTGTAAACTGTCTTATGTGGCAATCTAGATCTAGTATCTGTCCCAGCTCAATGATCCTGGGAGTTATAGTTTCACAAGGTCATTGCACTACATTATATACCTGAGGTTGTTGCAATGCGTTATATGAATCTACACTGGCCACAGATCTACATCTGTGATGATCTAGAACTAGACCATCTGCCCCGGCTTAATGCTATGGGATCCTGGGAGTTGTAGTTCTACAAGGCCATTGGACGGCATTATATGAATCTATGCTGACCATACGATGCAGTTTGAAACTACACAATCTGGCAATCTAGATCTGGACTATCTTCCTCACGTCAAGGCTATGGAAATCTGTGAGTTGTAGTTCCACAAGGTCTTCTTTTGCCTTCTCCACCAGCCTGCAAACTCCAGGACTCCATAACACTGAATCCCAGCAGTCAAGTGGGCCCAAAGTGCATTAATTCTGCAGTGCAGACACGCCCAAAGACCTTACCTCTGGACTTCATCCCAATAAACCGGTTCTCCACAATGTCGATGCGCCCAACGCCATGCTTGCCACTGTAAAGGAAGGAAGGAAGGATATCAGAGCCAAAGGACGTTCCTTGTGGCAAAGGGCAGGACTAGATGACCTTTAGGGTCCCTTCAAACTCCTAAGGTTTTTGGAAGACAGCAACAGGAGCCTAGTGTTATGATCCTAGTGCTATTGTGAGTGCCACCAAAATAGGAAGAAGGGACTGGACTACATTACTTTAGGGATGCCTGACAACTCTTAGCACCTTCTCTGGGGTCCCCTCCAAGTATTAAGGACCTTCTTTGGGGTCCCTTTCAACACTTAAGACCTTCTTTGGGGTCCTTCCATCTCTTAGGACCTTCTTTGGGGTCCCTTTCAACACTTAAGACCTTCTTTGGGGGCCCTCCATCTCTTAGGACCTTCTTTGGGGTCCCTTTCAACACTTAAGACCTTCTTTGGGGGCCCTCCATCTCTTAGGACCTTCTTTGGGGTCCGTTTCAACACTTAAGACCTTCTTTGGGGTCACTWTAAACTTTTAGGACCTTTTTTGGTATCTCTTCCATCTTTTACAATCTTTTTTAAGGTCGTTCTCATCTCTTAAGACTGTCTTTGGAGTCCCTTCCATGTCTTAGGACCTTCTTTGGATTCCTCCCATCTCTTAGGACCATCTTTGGCATCCCTTCCATCTCTTAGGACCATCTTTGGCTTCCCTCCCATCTCTTAGGACCATCTTTGGCATCCCTTCCATCTCTTAGGACCATCTTTGGCTTCCCTCCCATCTCTTAGGACCATCTTTGGCATCCCTTCCATCTCTTAGGACCATCTTTGGTGTCCCTTCCATCTCTCAGGACCTTCTTTGGGGTCCCTTCCATCTCTTAGGACCTTCTTTGGGGTCCCATCTCTTAGGACCATCTTGGGGGTCCCTTCCATCTCTTAGGACCATCTTTGGCATCCCTTCCATCTCTTAGACCCTTCTTTGGTGTCCCTTCCATCTCTTAGGACTTTCTTTGGTGTCCCTTCCATCTCTTAGGACCTTCTTTGGGGTCTTTTCCATCTCTCAGGACCTTCTTTTGTGTCCCTTCCATCTCTTAGGACCATCTTTGAGTTCCCTTCCATCTCTTAGGACCTTCTTTGGGGTCCCTTCCATCTCTTAGGACCTTCTTTGGGGTCCCTTCCATCTCTTAGGACTGTCTTTAGGTTTCCTTTCTAATGCCTCCCCTATTTGGAGACATTTCCCCTCGCCACAATTTTGTGTCCCAAGTCCTAAAAGGAGCTCTAGTGCGGCTTCCCACTTACGCAATCCCATTCAGAAACACGAAAAGCTCAAGCGGGGAATGGCAAACGGTGCCGGCATTCGCATCTTTGACCCGGACTGGGACACCTGTCAAGAAAGCGAGACTTTAGTTGGGGAAGGGGCTGGTGGGGGGGGGGTATTCCGAATCCCATTATCCCCCCCCCACGCCCCACCCTTCTTCCTTTTTCAACCATCACCTCCTTGGCGTTAAATAGACCTGACAGATATGAACTCTAAATAACTTCTTAAAAAGCCGTGGCTAAGCCGAAAGGCGGAGAGGGGCCATGAATACGAAAGGGAGACCCCAGAGAGAGGGCATAAAAGGGGGTCCCTTTCGGGGAGGGGGAAATGAAAGGAGGCAATAAAAGTTCCTCCCGCCCCACATTACATTGACCCCGTCCTCCTCGCTTTGAGGGGCCTGAAATTGAAGCCAAGGCCTCGGCTAATTCGATTTCACGCTTCCCCATTGTCCTGAATGGGGCACCGTCTGTTCCACCAGCCGACGGAGCTGGTCCCATAGAAGGAAAACCCCAATAAATGGCAATAAAGGGGGCAGGAAAGTGGTGGTGGGGGGGGCGCGGGTGGGGAAGGGGTGGGAAATGGCTGGCAAGAACCCTTGGGGGGGAAATAGGGGTACTCAGGCCCTCACCTACCCCTTCCTCGGGGGACCCCATCTCCCAAAATGGTCTATTATTATTATTATCATCATCATCATCATCATTATAATTATTATTGTTATTATTATCATCATTATTATCCTTATTACTATCATCACTATTATTATTACAATTATCATTATTATCATTACTATTATTATCATCATCATCATCATCATTATTATCATCACTGTTATTATTACAATTATAATTATTATCATTACTATTATTGTTATTAATATCATCATCATTATCATCATTATTATTGTTATCATCATCATCATCATTATTATTATCACTGTTATTACAATTATAATTATTATCATTACTATTATTGTTATTAATATCATCATCATTATCATCATTATTATTGTTATTATCATCACTGTTATTATTATAATTATCATTATTATCATTACTATTATTGTTATTAATATCATCATCATTCTTATCATCATTACTATTGCTATCATCATCATCATTATTATTATCATCAGTTATTATTATAATTATTATTATTATCATTACTATTATTGTTATTAATATCATCATCATCATTATTATCATCATTACTATTGTTATCACCATCATCATTATTATCATCATTACTATTGTTATCATCATCATCATTATTATCATCATTATTATAATCATCACTGTTATTATTACAATTATCATTATTATCATTACTATTATTGTTATTAATATCATCATCATCATTATTATCATCATTACTATTGTTATCATCATCATCATTATTATCATCAGTTATTATTACAATTATAATTATTATCATTACTATTATTGTTATTAATATCATCATCATTATTATAATCATCACTGTTATTATTATAATAATTATTATTGCTATTAATATTATAATCATTATTTATTATTATCATGATTATAATTATCATAATTATCATTATTATTATCATTACTATTATTGTTATTAATATCATCATCATTATTATATCATCATTATTACTATTATTATCATCATCATCATTATAATTATTGTTATTATTATTATTATCTGTCCCTTCATTGGAGGATCCCCATCTCCAAAAGCAATCTATTGTTGTTGTTGTTGTTTGTTATTATGGTTATTCTCATCTGTCCCCTTCATTGGGGGACCCCCACCTCCAACAGTGGCCTATTATTGTTGTTGTTTGTTTGTTTGTTATTATTAAATATTTATTATCGTTGTTGTTATCTGCCCCTTCATTGGGGACTCCCATCTCCAAAGGTGGTCTATTATTATTAATCATTATTATTGTTATTGTTATCATTATCATTGTTGTCGCTGTTGTTATTATCTGTTCCTTCATTGGAGGATCCCCATCTGTTGTTGTTGTTTGTTATTATGGTTATTATCATCTGTTGTTGTTGTTGTCAATAGTAGTATTACTATTATTGTTCTTGTTATTAAGGCCATCCAATTCCAACCCCATTCTGCCATAAGGGAAAAGCACCATTATTACTAGAATTAGTGTTTATTATTATTATTATTATTATTATTATTATTATTAGTTGTTGTTGTTGTTGTTGTTGTCGTTGTCAATAGTAGTATTACTATTATTGTTCTTGTTATTAAGGCCATCCAATTCCAACCCCATTCTGCCATAAGGGAAAAGCACCATTATTACTAGAATTAGTGTTTATTATTATTATTATTAGTTGTTGTTGTTGTTGTTGTTGTTGTCGTCGTCAATAGTAGTATTACTATTATTGTTCTTGTTATTAAGGCCATCCAATTCCAACCCTATTCTGCCATAAGGGAAAAGCACCATTATTACTAGAATTAGTGTTGTTGTTTTTATTATTAGTTGTTGTTGTTGTTGTCAACAGTAGTATTACTATTATTGTTCTTGTTATTAAGGCCATCCAATTCCAACCCCATTCTGCCATAAGGGAAAAGCACCATTATTACTAGAATTAGTGTTTATTATTATTATTATTATTATTATTATTATTATTAGTTGTTGTTGTTGTTGTTGTTGTCGTTGTCAATAGTAGTATTACTATTATTGTTCTTGTTATTAAGGCCATCCAATTCCAACCCCATTCTGCCATAAGGGAAAAGCACCATTATTACTAGAATTAGTGTTTATTATTATTATTATTATTAGTTGTTGTTGTTGTCGTCGTCAATAGTAGTATTACTATTATTGTTCTTGTTATTAAGGCAATCCAATTCCAACCTCATTCTGCCATAAAGGAGAAGCACCATCTAATCCTTGGACAGATGTCCCTCCAGCCTTACAGACCTTAGTGGGTTCGTAGAGATATTATTATTATTATTATTATTATTATTATTATTATTATTATTATGTTTATTTACCCCCCCTTTTTTCTCTCCCAAACGAGACTCAGCGAGAAGCAAGGGCCCCTCTTTGCACCATCGTTAGGCATTAATTAATGATTGCACCATTACTATTATTAGTATTATTATTACTCCTGTAGTTGTTATTAACACCATCCAATTCCAACCCCATTCTGCCATAATGGAAAAACACCATCTAATCCGTCTGGATAGATGTCCCTTATAGACCTTAGTGGGTTCGTAGAGATTATTACTATTATTATTATTATTATTGTTTATTATTATTATTAGTATTAGTATTAGTATTGTGGTTGTTATTAACGCCATCCAATCCCAACCCCATTCTGCCATAAAGGAAAAACACCATCTAATCTGTCTGGACAGATGTCCCTTACAGACCTTAGTGGGTTCGTAGAGATATTATTATTATTATGTTTATTATTATTATTATTATTATTATTTTATTATTATTATTATTATGTTTATTATTATTATTATTATGTTTTTATTATTATTATTATGTTTATTATTATTATTATTATGTTTTTATTATTATTATTATGTTTATTATGTTTATTATTATGTTTTTTATTATTATTATTAGTATTAGTATTAGTATTAGTATTGTGGTTGTTATTAACGCCATCCAATCCCAACCCCATTCTGCCATAAAGGAAAAACACCATCTAATCTGTCTGGACAGATGTCCCTTACAGACCTTAGTGGGTTCGTAGAGATATTATTATTATTATGTTTATTATTATTATTATTATTATTATTATTATTATTATTATGTTTATTATTATTATTATGTTTTTATTATTATTATTATGTTTATTATTATTATTATTATGTTTTTATTATTATTATTATGTTTATTATGTTTATTATTATGTTTTTTATTATTATTATTAGTATTAGTATTAGTATTAGTATTGTGGTTGTTATTAACGCCATCCAATCCCAACCCCATTCTGCCATAAAGGAAAAACACCATCTAATCTGTCTGGACAGATGTCCCTTACAGACCTTAGTGGGTTCGTAGAGATATTATTATTATTATGTTTATTATTATTATGTTTATTATTATTGTTATGTTTATTATTATTATTATGTTTATTATTATTATGTTTATTATTATGTTTATTATTATTGTTTATTATTATTATGTTTATTATTATTATTATTATTATTATTTTATTATTATTATGTTATTATTATTATTATGTTTATTATTATTATGTTTTATTATTATGTTTATTATTAATTGTTTATTATTATTATGTTTATTATTATTATTATGGTTTTTATTATTATTATGTTTATTATTATGTTTATTATTATTATGTTTATTTATCTCCTGTTATTTCTCTCCCCAAACGAGACTCAGAGACAAGCGAGGGCCCCTCTTTGCACCATCGTTAGGCATTAATTAATTAACGATTGCACCCCTGTATTTTATTTGGGGCCAAGAAAGGACGTGGGGCGAAATGAGCAATAAATGTCTTGAAACGAGTGGAAGGGGGGACGAGACGAGGAGGGGACCCCCACAAAAGGGGGTCAAAGGCAAGCTAATCTCTCTCCCATCTGCCTCCCTCGTTAGCATATCGCGCTTTATTATCAGGCCCTAATCATGGCTCAATAGGCTTTCTCCGGCCCCAAAGAACCGCCTCCTTGGTCCCGAGATTTATTTCTAGGGGTGGTAAATGGCTATTAAAGGAGAATGAAGCCCCCTCCCCTGGTTTATGTAGCTCGGGCGCTCGCCTCGCATTGTCGGCCCCAAAAGTGGCTTAATCCCTCTTAAAATAGTTAATAATTAGATTAAAACTTCAAATAAACGAGCCAAAAAAAGGGAGGGAACGGGGGGGGGGGGCAGTCTGGCTTTTTTTCGCCCCTTGAATGTATTAAAGCCTCGGAGAGGATTCAATCCGAAGCCTCTATTCAACCCATTGATTGGCCTCTTAGTTAATATACTGGGTTTTATTTACAGCATTGAGTTATTAATAGGGTGGCGGAAAGTATTACTACTAGGAGTATTAGCATACTATACTATTACGAGTATAGTCGGGTGCCTTGACAAATTTGTAAACATCCTGCAGCCCCTCCATAATGACTGTCCCGGACAAGGGCATAATTGACATCTGTTATAGAATTCCAATATGCCGATGATAACATAGTATATGCTCATTCAGAAAAAGAACTACAAGCCGCTCTAAACACCTTTGTAGAAGCATACTGGCAAGCTATTTAACCTCAGCAGACTGAAAGCCAAAACCAAGGTCACCACAACACAAGAACTCCAATATGCCGATGATAACATAGTCTATGCTCATTCAGAAAAAGACCTACAAGCCACTCTAAATGCCTTTGCAGAAGCATACTGGCAAACTATTTAACCTCAGCAGACTGAAAGCCTAAACCAAGGTCACAACAACATCTGTTATAGTCACAACAACATGTTACAGAATTCCAATATGCGGATGATAACATAGCCTATGCTCATTCAGAAAAAGACCTACAAACCACTCTAAAGGCCTTTGCAGAAGCATACTGGCAACTTATTTAACCTCAGCGGACTGAAAGGCAAAACCAAGGTCCCAACAACACAAGAACTCCAATATGCTGATGATAACCTAGTCTATGCTCATTCAGAACAAGACCTACAAGCCACTCTAAATGCCTTTGTAGAAGGATACTGGCAAGCTATTTAACCTCAGCAGACTGAAAGCCAAAACCAAGGTCATAACAACATCTGTTACAGAATTCCAATATGCTGATGATAACATAGTCTGTGCACATTCAGAAGGAAACCTACAAGCCACTCTAAATGCCTTTGTGGAAGCATACTGGCAAGCTATTTAACCTCAGCAGACTGAAAGCCAAAACCAAGGTCACAACAACACAAGAACTCCAATATGCTGATGATAATATAGTCTATGCTCATTCAGAACAAGACCTACAAGCCACTCTAAATGCCTTTGGAGAAGTATACTGGCAAGCTATTTAACCTCAGCAGACTGAAAGCCGAAACCAAGGTCATAACAACATCTGTTACAGAATTCCAATATGCTGATGATAACATAGTCTGTGCGCATTCAGAAAAAGACCAACAAGCCACTCTAAACGCAGAAGCATACGAGAAGCTCAACCTTTACCTTTCTTAAATTCAATTTCCAATATATCCGGAGTATCCGGGCTCAAGGAGGGGTCCGTGGTTTTCGTGTAGAGACCGGACGGAGCCTCGTTCTGCAAAAGGAAAACGTTAGGGAACGTCAACAGGGAGAAATATATACGGAACAGCACTTTGGCATTAAATAATGAAATGTACAGATATAGAATGAATGAACAATACACTGTAAGCAATTCTGGGCATGGGGAAAGTTGATTAAACTGCACAAACGTTGTCTTTGCGGAATAAATATTGCATACTGAATATGAAATAAATAAATACATGATCAATCAGTATCATATAGATCATAGATGAGTGACACCTGGCTTGGCAATACGTGACAAAGGGTTCTAGGGGATGGCCATCTGTCGGGTGGGGTTTGATTGTGCTTTCCTTGCATGAAGGAAGACAGGGCTGGGCTGGATGGCCTTTGGGAGTCCCTTCCAACTTTAGGATTGCATCATATCCCAATCATATCTATCTATGGCTGGATGGCCATCTGCTGGGAGGAATTGTATGGTGCTTTTTCCCTTTATGGCAGAAAGGGGTTGGACTGGGTGGCCTTTGGGGGTCCCTTCCAACCCTAGGATTCTATCTATATCTCAATTATGTGTATCATATCTATGGTAATGTATTTATGGGTGGATGGGTCTCTGTCAGGAGGGATCAGATGGTGCTTTTCCCTCTGTGGCAGAAAGCGGTTGAATTGGATGGCCTTTGGGGATCCCTTCCAACTCTAGGATTCTATGTATCTCTCAATCATATCTATCTATGGCTGGATGGCCATCTGTCTGGAGGGATTAGGTGTTACCTTTATGGCAGAAAGGGGTTGGATTAGATGGCCTTTGAGAGTCCCTTCCAACTCTAGGATTCTATCCTAGACATGATGGAAAGACAACAACAACAACAACAACAAACAACAACAACAATAAACATAAGGGGTAGGACTGGGTGGCCTTTGGGGTTCCTTCTATCCTAGAGATACAACAACAGCAACATAAGAGGTTGGGCTGGATGGCCTTTGGGGTCCCTTGTATCCTAGACATGATAGAGATACAACAACAATAACAACATAAGAGGTTGGGCTAGATGGCCTTTGGATTCCCTTGTATCCTACATATGATGGAGATATAACAACAACAACAACAACATAAGGGGTTGGGCTAGATGGTCTTTGGCGGTCCCTTCTATCCTAGACATGATGGTGATATAACAACAACAACAACATAAGGGGTAGGAGTGGGTGGCCTTTGGGGTCCCTTCTATCCTAGAGATACAACAACAACAACAGCAACGTAAGAGGTTGGGCTGGATGGCCTTTGGAGTCCCTTGTATCCTAGATATGATGGAGATAAAACAACAACGACATAAGGCGTTGGGCTAGATGGCCTTTGGGGTCCCTTGTATCCTAGACATGATGGAGATGCAACAACAACAACAACAACAAAAGAGGTCGGGCTGGATTGCTTTTGGAGGTCCCTTGTATCCTAGATATGATGGAGATATAACAACAACAATGACAACAACAACATAAGGGGTTGGGCTGGATAGCCTTTGGAGGTCCCTAGTATCCTAGATATGATGGAGATATAACAACAACAACATAAGGGGTTGGACTGAATGGCCTTTGGGGTCCCTTCTATCCTAGAGATACAACAACAACAACAACAACAACAACAACAACAACCACAATGTAAGAGGTTGGGCTGGATGGCCTTTGGAGTCACTTGTATCCTAGATATGATGGAGATACAACAACAACAACAACAATATGAGGGGTTGGACTGGATGGTCTTTGGAGGTCCCTTCTATCCTAGACATGATGGAGATATAACAACAACAACAACAACAACATAAGGGGTAGGACTGGGTGGCCTTTGGGGTCCCTTCTATCCTAGAGATACAACAACAACATAAGGGGTTGGGCTAGATGGTCTTTGGAGGTCCCTTCTATCCTAGACATGATGGAGATATAACCATAACAACAACAACAAAAGGGGTTGGGCTGGATGGTCTTTGGAGGTCCCTTCTATCCTAGACATGAAGGAGATACAACAACAACATAAGAGGTTGGGCTGGATGGCCTTTGGAGTCCCTTGTACCCTAGATATGGAGATACAACAACAACAACAACAACAACAACAACAACAACACAAGGGGTTGGGCTGAGGGGAGCCCCCTGCGCTGCTTTTCCTTCCCCTCCGTTGGGTCCCATTTCCTTTTTCCTTGTTGCTTTCGCAGCTGGAGGCGGCAGAGGGAAGCGGGCCCGCTCTGGCATTGCATTGACCACCAGGCAAAAACCCCATTTGGGAAGGCACTGACCCTTATGCGCGCGTGTGTATAGAGAGAGATACAGACAGATCCATCGAGAGAGATGTTTTCCTCCAGGATTTTATGGGCCGCGTTCATTGCGTCGGAAAATGTGGGACCGTCAGCCGATTTTGCAAAAGGAAGGAAGGAAGGAAGGAAGGAAGGAAGAGAGGGAGGAAGGAAGGGAGGAAGGAGGAAGGAAGGAGAGAGGAAGGAGAGAGGAAGGGAGGGAGGAAAGAAGGAGGAAGGAGGGAGGGAGGAATGAAGGAAGGAAGGAGAAACAGGAAATGGATTGGCCTGAAAGAAGAGAAGGGAGGAGAAGGGAGGAGAAATAGGGAAATGGTAGAAAAAAGAGGAAGGAAGGAGGAAGGAAGGAAGGAAGGAAGGAAGGAAGAAGGAAGGAAGGAAGAGAGGGAGGAAGGAGAGGAGGGAGGAGGGAGGGAGGAGGAAGGAGGAAGAGAAGGAAGGAAAGGAAGAAGGAAGGGAGGAAGGAAGGAATGAGAAATAGGGAAATAGGTTAGCCAGAAAGAAGAGGAAAGGAGGAAAGGAGGAAGGAAGGAGAAATAGGGAAATAGGTTGGCCAAAAGGAAGAAGAAAGGAAGGAGGAATCGAAAAGTAACTTGGCCAAAAACAGGACGGAAGAAGGAAAAAGGAGGGAAGGAAAATAGGAAAGAAGGAAGGAAGAAATAACAGGAAAGTAAGTTGGCCAGAAACAGGAGGGAAGAAGGAAGGAAGGAAGGAAGGAAGGAAGGAAGGAAGAGGAAGGAAGGAAGGAAGGAAAGGAAGGAAAAGGAAGGAAGGAAAGAAGGAAGGAGAAAGAAGAAGAAGAAGAAGGAGAGAGGGAGAAAGAGGGAGGGAAGGGAGTGAGGGAAGGAGGAGGGAAAGAGAGAAGGAAAGAAAGATGAAAGGGAAGAAAAGAGAAAGGAAGGAAGGAAGGAAGGAAGGAAGGAAGGAAGGAAGGAAGGAAGGAAGAAGAAAGAGGGAAGGAAGAAGGAGAAAGAGGAGGGAAGAAGGAAGGAAAGAAGGCAGGAAGGAAGGAAAGAAGGAAGGACGGATGTAAGGAAGAAAGAAAAGAATGAATGAAGGACGGAAGAATAGGAAAGTAAGTTGTCACAAAACAGGAGGGAAGAAGGAAGGAAATAAAACAAAGAAATCAAAATCAAGACAAAGAACGGGACGTAACCCGAAATAAACAAAAAATTTAAGAAAGCACCCCAAAAAAGTTCCCATTGGGCTTTATAAGAAAGAAAGAAAGAAAGAAAGAAAGAAAGAAAGAAAGAAAGAAAGAAAGAAAGACACGAAAAAGCAAAAGGAACGGACGGAGAAAACTTCATAATAAATTATCATTTTTTTTTTTAAGTGGGGAAACGTGGCTCGCAAAGGTGGGCAAATCTCAAAGCGCCGCGGGGGGTCCAAAAGGGTTTTTTTGTATATATATATATGTGCGTGTGTATATATATGTAAGGAGAGAGATTGGCAGCAAATGGTGCATGAAGCCGGTCCGCGTGGTGGGTGTCGGGGGGCTATCGATGCCGCCAAATGGTGTATTCATCCGTCCCCGCGGATATTGTTTTGTGCGCTCCTGAATGGCGCCCCCGTCCCCCTTTCTCCTCCGGCCTTTCTTTCTCCTCCCGATGAAGTTAAAGCAAGTAAATTTCTATCTTTGGGGGCATTAGCTGCCTCATTGCCCCTCAATCGGGCATCCTCGCGCAGAAAGGCAGAAAAATGGCTCAACCATCTGTTTCAAATCCCCCGAAAAAGGGGAGGGATGGAGGGAATGGGAAAAAGACAGGAGAAGAGGAAGAGAAAGAAAGAAAGATGGAGGGAGGGAGGCGGTTATCTCTCCATCCATCTATCCATCGATCATGGGGAGTCTGTGTGCCAAGTTCGGTCCAGGTCCGTCATCCATGAGGGTCGCAATAGTCTCCGGATGTGGACGAAGGTATTGCAACTATAAATCCCAGTACTTACAACTCCCAAATGTCAAGGCCAATTCCATCCAATGTGTTCTATTGATCATGGGGAGTCTGCGTGCCAAGTATGGTCCAGGTCCGTCATTCATGAGGGTCGCAGTAGTCTCCGGATGTGGACAAAGGCATTGAAACTATAAATCCCAGTGCTTACAACTCCCAAATGTCAAGGCCAATTCCCTCCAATGTGTTCTATTGATCATGGGGAGTCTGCGTGCCAAGTTTGGTCCAGGTCCGTCATTCATGAGGGTTGCAGTAGTCGAAGGTATTGCAACTATAAATCCCAGTACTTACAACTCCCAAATGTAAGGGCCAATTCCATCCAATGTGCTCTATTGATCATGGGGAGTCTGCGTGCCAAGTATGGTCCAGGTCCATCATCCACGATGGTCGCAGTAGTCTCCGGATGTGGACGAAGGTATTGCAACTATAAATCCCAGTACTACAACTCCCAAATGTGAAGCTCAATTCCATCCAATATGTTCTATTGATCATGGGGAGTCTGCGTGCCAAGTATGGTCCAGGTCCGTCATTCATGAGGGTCGCAGTAGTCGAAGGTATTGCAACTATAAATCCCAGTACTACAACTCACAAATGTGAAGGTCAATTCCCTTCAATGTGTTCTATTGATCATGGGGAGTCTGTGTGCCAAGTATGGACCACGTCCGTCATTCATGAGGGTCGCAGTAGTCTCTGGATGTGGACGAAGGCATTGCAACTATAAATCCCAGTACTTACAACTCCCAAATGTCAAGGCCAATTCCATCCAATGTGCTCTATTGATCATGGGGAGTCTGTGTACCAAATGTGGTTCAGGTCCATCATTCGAGTAGGTCACAGTGGTCTGTGGAAGTAGGAGCCAAAGGGATGAAGGTACTACAAATCACATCATCTGTGGCCCATCCTCCCCTAAACCGCACCAGGACGTATAGTGGGTTAGGGGGGGGGGGTCTGTGTGCCAAGTGTGGTGGTCCAGGTCCATCATTTGTGGAGGTTGCAGTAGTCTCTGGATCTGGATGAAGATAGTACAAATCACATCATCCATGGTCCATCTTCCCCCAAGCCACACCAGGACATAAAGTGGGTTGTGGGGGGGGGGTCTGCGTGCCAAGTTTGGTCCAGGTACAGGTCCATCATTTGTGAGGGTTGCAGTAGTTTCTGGATGTGAATAAAGGTACTGCAAATCCCATCATCCATGTTCCATCCTCCCCTAAATCGCACCAGGACGTATAGTGGGTCATGGGGGGGGGGGGGGGGGGGGGGGGGGGGGGTCTGTGTGCCAAGTGTGGTCCAGGTCCTTCATTCGTGGGGGTCACGGTAGACTGTGGAAGTAGGAGCCAAAGGGGATGAAGGTACTACAAATCACATCACCCATGGTCCATCCTCTCCCAAACCGCACCAGGATATAAAGTGGGTCGTGGGGGGTCTGCGTGCCACGTTTCGCCCAGGTCCGTCATTTGTGAGGGTCGCAGTAGTCTCTGGATGTGGATGAAGGTACTGCAAATCCCATCATCCGTGGTCCATCCTCGCCTAAATCGCACCAGGACGTATAGTGGGTCATGGGGGAGAGGGGGGGTGTGTGTCTGTGTGCCAAGTGTGGTCCAGGTAATAGAAAGTAATGTATATTCTGGCTTACCTTTGGGTTCTCCAAAATCCCCGCCTCGTAGCTTCGGGAGGGAGAAAGAGAGAAAAGAAACAATCCAATTAATTATCCATAATATGTTTCTCATTATTATCATTATTAAATAAAAATACTATATATTATTAACAATAATTCCATACACACACACACACATTGGAAATATTGTTAATATTGTATATTCTAATACTTATAGTATTTTATTTAATATTATATATATGTGTGTGTGTGTGTGTATAATGGGATTTATTTTTAATATTGTATTACTAATAATAATTAATAATATTTTAATATTTTATTAAAATATTATTATTTTAATAATATGTTAATAAAATATTAACAATAGTATACTATAATATATATGCATAATGCTGAACTGTTAATAACTTATAATAATGTTAAAATAAAATAATATTTTTAAATTAATTATAATATATTAATTGTTATATATTATTATATACTATTATTATAATTACTATCATTATTATATTAACAATATATTACAATATATAATAATAAATTAATATAGTTAATAAATAAAATAATATTTTTTATAAAATTAATTATAATACATTAATATATTGTTATATATTCTTAATATAATATTATTATAATTACTATACTATAATTATATTATAATATATATTACAATATATAATAATAAATTAATATAGTTAATATATAAGTAAATTATTATAATTGATTATTCATTAATTATAATAATGTATTAGTATATTAATGCAAGCTTTATTATAATTAATTACTAATTAATATATTGTTATATGTTATTAATATATTATTATAATTATTATAATTATAATATATATTACAATATATAATAATAAATTAATATAGTTAATATATAAGTAAATTATTATAATTGATTATTAATTAATTATAATAATGTATTAGTATATTAATGCAAGCTTTATTATAATTAATTACTAATTAATATATTGTTATATGTTATTAATATATTATTATAATTCCTATAAGTATTATAATTATAATATATATTACATTATATAATAATAAACTAATATAGTTAATATATAAGTAAATTATTATAATTGAGTATCAATTAATTATAATAATTTATTAGTATATTAATGCAAGCTTTATTTCTCTCCCCAAGAGAAAAGCGGGGAAAGTGCAAGGAATTTTCAAATAATAATAATAATAGTAATTAATAATTATAAATAAAACACCATTATTAATTACTGTTGTTGTTATTATTATTATTATTATTATTATTATTAGACAATTTATTTTTGAGGGGGTGGGGAATTCTCCAAGAAATAATAATAATAATAATAATAATAATAATAATAATAATAATATATTGTCGAAGGCTTTCATGGCCGGGATCACTGGGTTGCTGTAACACAACAACCCAATAATAATAATAATAATAATAATAATAATAATAATAATAATAAATACGGGAGGTGCTGACCTGACGTGCATGAGGTTTTCATCCGTGCTCCAAGGCTGGGAAGGAGTCGCCGGAACCGGGATCCCATGTTCCTATCCAAATAATAATAGAAATAAAGGATTATACGTAATGTACGTAAACCCAGCTAGATGGCCTTTGGGGGCCCCCTGGCACTCTTCCTGGCACGAGCTGGTATGAGAGGGAACCCATTACGCACCATAAATTATGCATCGGCCACAAGTGCGGAGAATACATGATTGCATCTTTAAATAAGGGCCAAAGCTTACGCCGTGGGGAAATACAGACATATGCACACATTAATATTATTCCTTTTTCTATTATTGTTATTATTATTCCCCTTTTTCTATTATTATTATACTATTATTATTCCTATTATAATTCCCCTTTTCTTTCTTCTATTATTATTACTATTATTATTCCCCTTTTCCTATTATTATTCCTATTATTATTCCCCTTTTTCTATTATTATTATTATTATTATTATTATACTATTATTATTATTCCTATTATAATTCCCTCTTTCTTTCTTCTATTATTATTACTATTATTATTCCCCTTTTCCTATTATTATTACTATTATTATTCCCCTTTTTCTATTATTATTATTATTATTATTATTATTATTATTATTATATACTATTATTATTCCCCTTTTCCTATTATTATTACTATTATTATTCCCCTTTTTCTATTATTATTATATACTATTATTATTATTCCTATTATAATTCCCTCTTTCTTTCTTCTATTATTACTATTATTATTCCCCTTTTTCTATTATTATTATTATACTATTATTATTCCTATTATAATTCCCCTTTTCTTTCTTCTATTATTATTACTATTATTATTCCCCTTTTCCTATTATTATTCCTATTATTATTCCCCTTTTTCTATTATTATTATTATTATTATTATTATTATATACTATTATTATTCCTATTATAATTCCCTCTTTCTTTCTTCTATTATTACTATTATTATTCCTCTTTTTCTATCATTATTATTATACTATTATTATTATTCCTATTATAATTCCCCTTTTCCTATTATTATTATTACTATTATTATTCCCCTTTTCCTATTATTATTCCTATTATTATTCCCCTTTTTCTATTATTATTATTATTATTATTATATACTATTATTATTATTCCTATTATAATTCCCTCTTTCTTTCTTCTATTATTACTATTATTATTCCTCTTTTTCTATTATTATTATTATACTATTATTATTATTCCTATTATAATTCCCCTTTTCTTTCTTCTATTATTATTACTATTATTATTCCCCTTTTTCTATTATTATTATTATTATTATATACTATTATTATTCCTATTATAATTCCCTCTTTCTTTCTTCTATTATTACTATTATTATTCCTCTTTTTCTATCATTATTATTATACTATTATTATTATTCCTATTATAATTCCCCTTTTCCTATTATTATTATTACTATTATTATTCCCCTTTTCCTATTATTATTCCTATTATTATTCCCCTTTTTTTATTATTATTATTATTATTATTATATACTATTATTATTATTCCTATTATAATTCCCTCTTTCTTTCTTCTATTATTACTATTATTATTCCTCTTTTTCTATTATTATTATTATTATACTATTATTATTATTCCTATTATAATTCCCCTTTTCTTTCTTCTATTATTATTACTATTATTATTCCCCTTTTTCTATTATTATTATTATAATACTATTATTATTCCTATTCTCTTACTTTTCTCATCTCTTCTCTTCCTTGCCTCGTCTTTCTTCTCTTCCCTTCCTTCTCCTTTCGCTTCTCTCCCTTCCTTTCCTCATCTCTTCTTCTTTTCCTTCCCTTATCTTTCTTTCGTCTCCTTTCTACTCTTGATTCCCTTCTCTTCCTTCCCTCATTTCCTTTCTTCTTTTCATTCTCTACTCTTTTCGATTCAGTTCTTCTCCTTCTCTTCCTTTCCTTGTCTCCTTTCTTCTCTTCCTTTCCTCATTTCCTTTCTTCTTTTCCCCCTCCTCTTCCTTCCCTTTTCTTCCTTTCATTTCCTTTCTTCTCTTTCTCCCCTCCTCTTCCTTCCCTTTATTCTCTTCCTTCACTTCTCTTCATTTCCTCCTCTCCTTTCTTCCCTTCCTTCCTTCCCTCCCTTCTTTTCCTTCCCTCCTTTTCGTCTCTTCTTCTCTTTCGTCTCTTCTCTTCCTTTCCTTTCCTCCTCTCCTTTCTTCTCTTCCTTCCTTCCCTCCCTCCCTTCATTTCTTCCCTTCCTCTCATCCTTTTCTTCCTTCACTTCTTCACTTCCTGGCGGGTTTTCCTTTGGGGGAAATGGACTGTGAACGAGAGCCAATGATATGCCAATTAGCCTGACAAATGAGCATTAGAATAGTAGTAATAATAATAATAATAATAATAATAATAATAATAATAATAACGAGGCTTTATTGAATCCTCTGCCGTCCCATTGGAAGGCCTGCTCCTCAAATGTCCTGGTTCCTCATTTTTCTCCTCCTTTCTGCCTATTGCTGCAAAGGAAAGCCAAATAGGTTCCTGTTATTATTGTTTTAGTTAAATGGCAGCTGATGAGTTCTAATAATTAATGATGATTATAAATAAAATATAACGTAAAAATTTATTATTACTGTTATTAAAAAGTGTTACAAATAAAAATTGAGTATAATAAATTATAAATTTATAAAAAATAGAATATAAGAAATTATAATTGCTAATAAATTATAAATATTAATAATTATAAAGAGAATAAAATATAGTTATTAATTATAAATATAACCACACACACACACATAAATATAACCACATAATACATTTGTTTAATAACAATAAATCAAAATATGCTTATTAAAACATTAATAATCAGCAATGACCATTAAGAATGAATTAAAATATGATTTAATAATAAATAATAAATTAAATTTATTTGATTATTATAAATCAAAATATAACTGCATAATATATGTTTAATAACAACAAATCAAAATATGCTTATTAATTATAATTATTAATAATAAATCAAAACATTAATAAATTGCAATGACCATTAATAATGAATTAAAAATAATTTAATAATAAATTGTAAATTAAAATATAATATAATGAATAGTGTAACAATGAATAAAAATATACTTATTAATTATAATTATTAATAATAAATCAAAACATTAATATATTGCAATGACCATTAATAATGAATTAAAATATAATTTAATAATAAATAATAGATTAAAATATAATACAATTATTATTATAAATCAAAATAGCAATGACCATTAATTTATAAATTTATTTGATTATTATAAATCAAAATATAACCGCATAATATATTTGTTTAATAACAACAAATCAAAATACACTTATTTATTATAATTATTAAAAATAAATCAAAACATTAATAAATTGCAATGACCACTGATAATGAATTAAAATATGATTTAATAATAAATTATAAAATAAAATATAATATGATTGTTATATATCAAAATAAATTAAAATTAAATATATAATATATAAAATTAAAATATGATGATGATTATAATGACTTATTTCTTAAATAATATTTTAGATATTTCAAGTGTATCTTAGAGAGCCGACTTGCATGTAAATGATGGTGATAATTATGACTTATTTCTTAAATTATATTTTTGAGATTTCAGGTGTATCTTTGAGAGATTTCAGGTGTATCTTTGAGAGATTTCAGGTGTATATTTTTGAGATTTCAGGTGTATATTTTTGAGATTTCAGGTGTATATTTTTGAGATTTCCGGTGTATATTTTTGAGATTTCAGGTGTATCTTTGAGAGATTTCAGGTGTATATTTTTGAGATTTCAGGTGTATATTTTTGAGATTTCAGGTGTATATTTTTGAGATTTCAGGTGTATATTTTTGAGATTTCCGGTGTATATTTTTGAGATTTCAGGTGTATCTTTGAGAGATTTCAGGTGTATATTTTTGAGATTTCAGGTGTATATTTTTGAGATTTCAGGTGTATATTTTTGAGATTTCAGGTGTATATTTTTGAGATTTCAGGTGTATATTTTTGAGATTTCAGGTGTATATTTTTGAGATTTCCGGTGTATATTTTTGAGATTTCAGGTGTATCTTTGAGAGATTTCAGGTGTATATTTTTGAGATTTCAGGTGTATATTTTTGAGATTTCCGGTGTATATTTTTGAGATTTCCGGTGTATATTTTTGAGATTTCAGGTGTATCTTTGAGAGATTTCAGGTGTATATTTTTGAGATTTCAGGTGTATATTTTTGAGATTTCAGGTGTATATTTTTGAGATTTCAGGTGTATATTTTTGAGATTTCAGGTGTATATTTTTGAGATTTCAGGTGTATATTTTTGAGATTTCAGGTGTATATTTTTGAGATTTCAGGTGTATATTTTTGAGATTTCCGGTGTATATTTTTGAGATTTCAGGTGTATCTTTGAGAGATTTCAGGTGTATATTTTTGAGATTTCAGGTGTATATTTTTGAGATTTCCGGTGTATATTTTTGAGATTTCCGGTGTATATTTTTGAGATTTCAGGTGTATCTTTGAGAGATTTCAGGTGTATATTTTTGAGATTTCAGGTGTATATTTTTGAGATTTCAGGTGTATATTTTTGAGATTTCAGGTGTATATTTTTGAGATTTCCGGTGTATATTTTTGAGATTTCAGGTGTATCTTTGAGAGATTTCAGGTGTATATTTTTGAGATTTCAGGTGTATATTTTTGAGATTTCAGGTGTATATTTTTGAGATTTCCGGTGTATATTTTTGAGATTTCAGGTGTATCTTTGAGAGATTTCAGGTGTATATTTTTGAGATTTCAGGTGTATATTTTTGAGATTTCAGGTGTATATTTTTGAGATTTCAGGTGTATATTTTTGAGATTTCCGGTGTATATTTTTGAGATTTCAGGTGTATCTTTGAGAGATTTCAGGTGTATATTTTTGAGATTTCAGGTGTATATTTTTGAGATTTCAGGTGTATATTTTTGAGATTTCCGGTGTATCTTTGAGAGCCGACTTGCATTTAAATGATGGTGATGGTGATTATAATGACTTATTTCTTAAATTATATTTTTGAGATTTCCGGTGGATCTTTGAGAGCCGTTTCGTGCACGTGTGTTTGTGTGTGTTTTGCATCCTTTTTTAATTGCGAGCGCAATAACAGTAGCAACGATGGCTCGTCTCGGGCTTCTCCTCCTTCACGAAATCTGTCGTCTTTGCAAACAAAAACGTCCCTGGAAACCTCTCAGCTGCACTTTAGAAAATCCGGGGACAATATTATGATGGGGAATGAATGGGGAGCCCCATGGCAGAGAGGCCCTAATAGCCGGCGCCCGGCCTGGAAAGCCCTCCAAACGCGACTTTAATTCAGCGTAATTGCCTTCTTCCCTCTCCGGGTAATAATAACAACAAGGAAGACGAGGGAGAGAAAAGGCACGCTCCGGCCCTCCATCCATCCAAGCAGGCAAGAGGCATCCACCTTGCAAGGCAATCCGGGCGGACGAATGGATGGGGGTCCCCCCGAACACAATAAGAGGAACACGCACAAATACACGCAACCGGGCCCTGTTTGTGGGGCAACATATGGGTGGAAGAGGCTCTTGGGAAGGAGGAAGGAAACAACAGATGGCCAAGGGGAAGCAAGCAGGTCAATGGGGCAAACCAGGCAATAGTAATAACCATTGCAAAAAAATATAAATATAATAATAATATATAAACTATCAAAATAATGGTAATAATCATTGCAAAAAATAAATATAATAATAATATATAAAATATGAAAATAATAATAATAGTCATTGCAAAAAATTAAATATAATAATAATACATAAAATATGAAAATAATAGTAATAATCATTGCAAAAAATAAATATAATAATAATTTATAAAATATAAAAATAATAGTAATAATCATTGCAAAAATTATAAATATAATAATAATATATAAAATGTAAAAATTATAGCAATAATCATTGCAAAAAATAAATATAATAATAATATATATAAAATATAAAAATAATAGTAATAATCATTGCAAAAAAATAAATATGATAATAATATATATAAAATATAAAAATAATAGTAATAATCACTGCAAAACAATAAATATAATAATAATATATAAAATATAAAAATAATAGTAATAATCACTGCAAAACAATAAATATAATAATAATATATATAAAATATAAAAATAATAGTAATAATCATTGCAAAAAAAATAAATATGATAATAATATATATAAAATATAAAAATAATAGTAATAATCATTGCAAAAAATAAATATAATAATAGGAAATGAAATAAAAATGCAAAAATAATAATAATTGCAATAAAATAAAATAAAATGGGAAATTGGACTAAAAAATGCAAAAAATAATAATAGCAATAAAATAATACAGAAAAAAACAATTGAAAAGTAAATAAAGTAAAAAGGAAATAAAAAGAAATGCAAAATAATAATAAAATAAAATGGGAAAAAGGAAATTGAATAAAAAAGGAAAAACAAAAACTAATTGCAATAAAATAAAATATAATGGGGGAAAGGAAATAGAATAAAAAAGAAATGCAAAAGTAATAATTGCAAAAAATAAAATAAAATAAATTAGGGGGAAAGTAAATGAAATAAAAAAGAAATACAAAAAAAGAATTGCATAAAATAAAATAAAATAGGGGTAAAAAGAAAATGGAATAAAAAGAAATGCAAAAAATAGCGATTGCAAAAAATAAAATAAAATAAAATAAAATAGGGGGAAAGTAAATGAAATAAAAAAGAAATGCAAAAAATAATAATTGCAATAAAATAAAATAAAATGAGAAAAAAGACGTGAAATAAAAAGAAATGCAAAAAATAAAATAAAATAAAATAGGGGGAAAAGTAAATGAAATAAAAAGAAATCCAAAAATAGTAATTGCAATAAAATAAAATAAAATGGGAAAAAGGAAATGAAGTAAAAAGAAATGCAAAAAAACTAATAATTGCAAAAAATAAAACAAAATGGGAAAAAGGAAATGGAATAAAAAGAATGCAAAAAATAATGATTGCATAAAATAAAATAAAATAAAATAAAATAGGAGGAAAGGAAATGAAAAAAAAAGAAATGCAAAAAAATAATAATTGCTAAAATAAAATAAAAAGTAAAAAAAATGTGCAAAAAATTAAAATTGAAAAGTAAACAAAATATAATATATATTAGAGGTATAAATTGTGCAAATAGAATATATATATATATATATATATAATTTTAAAATATATATTAGAGGTATAAATTGTGCAAATAATATATATATGTGTGTGTGTACGTATGTATATATACAATAAAAGAGGATAGACTACGTGTGGCGAGCGTATTTGCAAGTCTTTGCGCACCTTGCAGGCACACGGACGTGTTGTGGTCCTTTCTGGAAAGAGCTTTCCTTTTCTTTCCGGCTCTGAAAGGCCTCCAATGGAGGAGAGGGTTGGACCAGAGCAATTTTCTGGCTGATCCCCCCAAAACGCTCTTTTCTTTGATTTGACGGATTGTCAGGCTTTTTTGGCATCCCTGGGGCGACGAGACGCAAAACTTCTCCCCTGTTTCATTTTTATGGCCGGGAGAACGAAGGAGGGAAAAAAGGAGGAGAAAGGCAGGGAAAGAGGGATTTGACGGCGGCAAGGTGGGGCCCTGAAAGCAGATTGCAATTAGCAGAGAGGTAATTACAGATGGAATTAAGAGAAGTGTGTGGATGTGTATCTCTCTCTCTCTATCTCGATATATATATTCCTTGGGAAACGTTCCCCCGCAGGGATGGAGGTAATTGCGGAAGGCCCGGCCATTGTGCGCAAGGCGAGTCCAAAGTGCGGAAATTAAAGGTTCGTTGCAAAAGGGAAACGAGGGAGAAATGACACGTTGCGGAAAAAGAAAGAACGAATGAACGAGGAAGGACGGAAGGAAGGAGAGAACGACTTATTATTGTCCTCATTCAGATTCAGATTCCTGTGTTTCAGTGTATAAGGACCTCTGAGGCTGAGACAGTGTAACCCCCCCCCCTTTGAAGCCACTGGCAAGATATAATAATAATAATAATAATAATAATAATAATAATACATTAATTATCAGCCTCTCTCCTTCAGATTCATTTAATAATAATAATAATAATATAATTAGCTATATAATATATAAAATAATATTTAAAATCAAATAACATCTATATATATATAAAGGTTAACGTCGTCGTTAGTGGTTCAAAAACGGAAAAACTACAGGACCGAATATCACCCAATTTGGCCTTCTAATACCTCATACCCCAAAGTATGACCAACAATCATCAAAAGTCAAATAGACACCAAAACAAATAATGTAATGAGAATAATATGATATAATATTAATATAATAAAATAATAATATATAAAATCAAATATCATAATATTATAATAATGTAATAAGAATAAGATAATACGATACAGCGGTATATAAGCAAAGTAAATAAATAAATAAATAAAACAATAATGTAATAAGAATAATATAATATTAATACAATATAAAATAATAAAATATAAAATCAAATAAGATAATATAATAAAATAATAATGTAATAAGATAATATAATATTAATAAATATAAAATAATATATAAATAAATAACACAATATAATAAAATATAATGTAATAATAATATATATAATATTAATAAAATAATAATAATATAAAATCAAATAAATAATATAATAATAATGTAATAAGAATAAGATAATATATTATATATAAAATAATAAATAAGAATATATAATATATATAATATAAAATACTATATATAAAATCAAATAAGATAATATAATAAAATAATATAGTAATAATAATATAATTTAATATAATAAAATATGAAATAATAACAAAATATAATAAATAAATAAATTAAATAATAAATATTAAATAATCATATAATAAAATATAATAAATAATAATAATGTAATATAAAAAAATATATAATAAAAAATAATATATATAAAATAATAAGATAATATAATAAAATAATAATGTAATAAATAAAATATAATATAATATAATATAAAATAATAATAATAAAATAATAAAATATAATAAAATAAATATAATAATAATAATAAAATATAATAAATATAAAATAATAAGATAATAAAATCAAATAACATAATAATAATAATAATAAATAATAATATAATAAATAATAAAATAATAATATATAACAAATTAAGAAATAATAATATAATAAATATAAGAATAAAAAATATAATAAAATAAATAATAATAAATAAATAAAATAAATAATATAGATAAATAAAATAATAATTAAAATAATAATAACAACAATATAATAAAATAATAATGTAATAATAAGATATAATATTAACATAATATAAAATAATAATATATAAAATCAAATAACATAATATAATAATAATGTATTAAGAATAAGATAACGTCATATTAATACAATATAAAATAATAATATATAAAATCAACAATATAATAATATCATTATATAAAACAACAATATAATAATATAATAATAATATTGACCCCCTTGAGACTACCAAGAAAATATAACAACAACAACAAGGACAACAATATAATATATAATAAGCGTTTCCCCCATCGACTTTCTCTTAAGGCTGAGAGCGTGTGACCCACGAGAGGTGACCATAGGGATCCCTTATATTTATTTATTTATTTATTTATAGACCGTACCTTGGCAAACGCCATGAGGTCGCCTCGGCCTCGGAAGCGGCTGTAGAACTCGGGCACCCGCCACGGCGCGATGACCTGGATGGGAGCGAAAGGGAGCCGGGATGGGCCTTAGAGGGCCGTGGTCACTCCTGGCATCAAGGTCAAGCGCTTTTCCTCCCTGGAATCCCTGCAGTTCCCAACCCAGTGGCAGCCTTACCAGGGATTTGCATATTGCTGGGACCTAGAGTCCTTCGTTTGGAAAGTTCTGGGACCTAGAGATACTCTTTTTGGAAGCAATGGGGTCTAGAGTAGCCATTTAGCTCAGAACCCTTTCTTCTGCAAAATGCTGGGACAAAGAACACCTCTTTTGTTTGCAAAATGATGGGACCTAGAACCCTCCTTTTGCAAAACACTGGGATGTAGAACACTCCTTCTGCCTAGAGCCCATCTTTTGCAAAGCACCAAGATCTGGAGTCCTTCTCTTGCAAAGTGCTGAAACCTAGAGCCTTTCTTTTGCAGAACACTGGGACACAGAGACCTTCTTTTGCAAAACACCAGGACCTCAAGCCCATCTTTTGCAACAGTGGGACCTAGAAGTCCTCCTTTTGCAAAATGCTGGGACCCAGAACACTTCTTTTGCAAAGCACTGGGACTTAGAGCCATTCTTTCCCATAGCACTGGGATCTAGAAACCCTTCTTTTGCAAAGGCATTCTTTTGCATAGCACCAGGATCTAGAACCCTCCTTTTGCATAGCACCGGGATTTAGAGCCATTCTTTTGCACCGGGTTCTATAACCCTCCTTTTTGCAAAGCACTGGGATCTAGAGCCATTCTCTTGCATAGCATTGAGATCTAGAACCCTCCTTTTGCAAAGCACTGGGACCTAGACCCCTTCTTTTGCAACACTGGGACATAGAGTCCTCCTTGTGCACAGAACAGGGGACCTAGAATCCACAATTTCAAAAGTATGACAATCTAGAACCCATCTTTTGATGTAATGCAGAGAACTAGAATATTTCCAGTGCAACACATAAACCCAGAACCCCCTTTTGGAAAAACACTTTTGCAACACTGGAACCTAGAACCCATTTTTGCAAAACAAAGGTCCTTAGAGCCATTCTTTCACAAAGTTCTGGATTCTAGAGCTGTTCTTTTGCAAAACGCTACGGCGTAGAGTCCTCCTTTTGCAGGATGCTGGGACTCGGAGTCCTCCTTTCGCAAAGAGCCAGGCCAGGATCTAGAACCCATCTTTTGCCAAATGCCAGGACGTCAAGCCCTTCTTTTGCAACACTGGGACCTCAAACCCTTCCTTTTGCAGAATGATGGGACTTAGATCTCTTTCTCTTGCAAAGCGCTCGGACCTAGAGTCCTTCTTTTGCAAAGCGTTAGGAACACGAGAACCCATCTTTTGCAAACAACGCCGAGGCAGAGAGTCGGCCGTGCTTGGGATTGTGGCAAAAAAGGAAACAAAAGGAAACCCAAGCCGGGGCCAAGCTGCCTGGGCTGCAACAGTTGCATGGCCTTGGGCAAAACGGGGTGTCCCCTTACAGAGAAGAGCCCTCGCCTTCCTCATCCCCCATTCCCCCGGGAGACATAGTTCTCCTCACCTGGATCTCGGGGCACAAGGCATAGTAGGCCAGTTCAAACCGGATCTGGTCATTGCCCTGAAAACAAGGGCAGAAAGAGGGCACAAAGACATCATAACAACAACAACAACAACAACAACAACAACAACAGAGGGCAAATTAATATTTTGTCAGTCAATCTGATCATCTTTGAAGCTGAGGAGAGAGATTAAAAAATCAATAATAATAATAATAATAATAATATAATGATAATAATATAATGATAATATCATTGGCCCATGGGATTTGTAGCACAGCAAGGCATAAAATAATATTATTAATAATAATTTAAACATAATAATAATAATAATAATAATAATAATAATAATAATAATAATAATAATAATAATAATAATAAAAATATATAATAATGATGATAATATCACTGGAACATGGGATCCTGGGATTTGTAGCACGGCAAGGCATATAATAATAATAATAATAATAATAATAATAATAATAATAATAATAAAAATATATAATAATGATGATAATATCACTGGAACATGGGATCCTGGGATTTGTAGCACGGCAAGGCATATAATAATAATAATAATAATAATAATAATAATAATAATAATAATAATAATGTAAACATAATAATAATTAATAATAATAATAATAATAATATTTAAAAATATATAATAATGAAAATATCACTGGCTCATGGGATCCTGGGATTTCTAGCACAGCAAGGCATAAAATAATATTAATAATAATAATTTAAACATAATAATAATAATATTTAAAAATCTTTTTATAATGATGATAATATCACTGGCCTATGGGATCCTGGGATTTGTAGCGTGGCAAGGCATAAAATAATAATAATAATAATTTAAACATAATAATAATAATAATAATATATAATAATGATGATAATATCACTGGAACATGGGATCTTGGGATTTGTAGCACGGCAAGGCATAAAATAATATTAATAATAATAATTTAAACATCATAATAATAATATTTAAAAATCTCTATAATAATGATGATAATATCACTGGTCCATGGGATCCTGGGATTTGTAGCATGGCAAGTCATAAAATAATATTATTAATAATAATTTAAACATAATAATAATAATATTTTAAAATCTCTGTATAATAATGATGATATCTCTAAATAATAATAATAATAATAATAATAATAGATTAACATTCATAATCTGCTCAGTCATCCAAAGTGGCGGGTAATAAATAAAATGTATTATTATTATCAATAATAAATAATAATATTAAATAAAGACACAATGAAACTAATTGATGGGTTAATTACATAAATGACCTTATTTGCACCATTATTATTATTATTAAATAATAACTATTAAATAAATAAATAGTATTAAATAAAGACAATGAAACTAATTGATGGGTTAATTACTTAAATAATCATATTTGTACCAATATTATAATTATTACTAAATAATAATAAATATCAGCAATAAATACAAAATAATATTAAATAACGACATATTCAATCACATAAATAATCATATTTGTACCAATATTATAATAATTATTAAATAATAATAAATATTAACAATAAATACATAAATAATATTAAATAATGACATATTCAAACTAATTGATTGGTTAATGACATAAATACCCTTATTTGCACCATTATTATTAAATAATAATAATAATAATAATAATAAATATTAAATAATGGCATAATCAAACTAATTGATCAGTTAGGAAGAACTTCCTGACTGTGAGAGCCGTTCAGCAGTGGAACTCTCTGCCCCGGAGTGTGGTGGAGGCTCCTTCTTTGGAAGCTTTTAAACAGGGGCTGGATGGCCCTCTGTCAGGGGTGATTTGAATGCAATATTCCTGCTTCTTGGCAGAATGGGGTTGGACTGGATGGCCCACAAGGTCTCTTCCAACTCTTTGATTCTATGACTATTATTATTAAATATTAAATAATAACTATTATTACATTATTAAATAAATAATAGATAATATTAAATAATGGCATAATCAAACTAATTGATCAGTGAATTACATAAATAATGATATATGAACCATTCTTATTATCAAATATTAAATAATAGATAATAATAAATAATAATATTAAATAATGACATAAACAAGCTAATTGATTGATTAATGACACAAGTAATAATATATGCACCATTATTATGACTAACTAATAATAATAATAATATTACATAATATTAATAATTAAGACATAATATTAATATTAAGATTAATATTAAGATATAATCAAATATAATATTAATGTTATTATATAATATTATATAATATTAATATTATAATAATATTATATAATATTAATATTAAGATATAATCAAACTAATTGGTTGGTTAATTAGGTAAACAATTAGCACCATTGGATCAGGCATGGGATCCTGGGATTTGTAGTATGGTGAGTCATAAAATAATAATAATAATATTAATAGTAATATTTTAATAATGTAATAATAATAATTATTATAATTATAATAATAATTATTATTATTATAGTATTCCCTCTCTCTTTGTCTGCCCCCTAGTGGCCACACTCAGACTGAAACAAAAATGCATTGGCAAACTATGGGATCTTGGCGCCCTCTTCTGGGCGAAAGCCATCATTGCAAAGACTGGAATGACATGGGATTTGTAGTATGGCGAGGCACACTAAAAATAATAAATAATTTAATAAGGTAAGTGAGGATATTTTAATTTAATAATAATGTAATAATAGTAATAGTAGTAATAATAATAATTTAATTGAGAATATTTTAATTTAATAATAATAATAGTATTAATAGTAATAGTAATAGTAGTAATAATAATAATAATAATTTAATTGAGAATATTTTAATTTAATAATAATAATAGTAATAATAGTAATAGTAGTAATAATAATAATTTAATTGAGAATATTTTAATTTAATAATAATAATAGTAATAATAGTAATAGTAATAGTAATAATAATTTAATTGAGAATATTTTAATTTAATAATAATAATAATAATAGTAATAGTAGTAGTAATAATAATTTAATTGAGAATATTTTAATTTAATAATAATAATAGTAATAATAGTAATAGTAATAATAATAATAATTTAATTGAGAATATTTTAATTTAATAATAATAATAGTAATAGTAATAGTAGTAATAATAATAATAATTTAATTACCCTTGATAATATTTTAATTTAATAATAATGTAATAATAATAATAATTTAATTACCCTTTTACTGCTACATGGGACCCTGGGATTTGTAGTATGGCGAGGCATAAAATTATTATTGTTATTATTATTTAATAATGGGCATGAGAATATTTTAATAATATTGTCATCATCATCATCATCTCCCCTCTCACAGGTCCATGGGATCCTGGGATTTGTAGTATGGTGAGACATAAAATAATAATAATAATAATGATAATAATAATAATAATAATAATAGTATTTCCTCTCTCACTGGCCCAAAGGATCCTGGGATCTGTAGTATGGTGAGGCATAAAATAATAAGAATATTAATAATAATATTTTAATAATGTAATAATAATAATAATAATAATAATAATAATAATAATAATAGTATTTCCTCTCTCACTGGCCCATAGGATCCTGGGATTTGTAGTATGGTGAGGCATAAAATAATAAGAATATTAATAATAATATTTTAATAATGTAATAATAATAATAGTATTTCCTCTCTCACTGGCCCAAAGGATCCTGGGATCTGTAGTATGGTGAGGCATAAAATAATAAGAATATTAATAATAATATTTTAATAATGTAATAATAATAATAATAATAATAATAATAGTATTTCCTCTCTCACTGGCCCATAGGATCCTGGGATTTGTAGTATGGTGAGGCATAAAATAATAATAATAATAATAATAAGAAGAAGAAGAAGAAGAAGAAGAACAGTATTTCCTCTCTCACTGGCCCATAGGATCCTGGGATTTGTAGTATGGTGAGACAACAACAATAACAATGATAAGAATTTAAACATAATAATAATAAAAATATTTCCTCTCTCACTGGCCCATGTGACCCTGAGATTTGTAGTATGGTGAGACATAAAATAATAATAATATTTTAATAGTGTAATAATAATAATAATAATAATAATAGTATTTCCCCTCTCACTGGCCCATGGGACCCTGGGATCTGTGCTGCATGACCCCACCTGTTTCCCCGTGTCCCCTAACCCTAACCCTTTCCCCTTTCTGCCTTGCCCTACCTTGCCGGTGGCCCCGTGGGAGACATAGTGCGCCCGCTCCTTCTGGGCGAGGGCTACCTGCCGGCGAGCAATGCAGGGCCGGGCCAAGGCGGTCCCCAGCAGGTACCGTTCCTCGTAGGCAGCATTGGCCTGGACCCACGGCCAGATGAACTCCTCCACAAACTGCCCCCGGAGGTCTTCCACGTAGACCTAGTGAGTGAGAAGGGGAAAACACATATTATTATTATTATTATTACTACCACCATTAATAATAATAAATCTCTAAATAATAATAATAATATGTTAATAATAATAATAATAAATAACAAAATAATAATATAAAAGTTTAATAATAATAATAATAATAATAATAATAATAATAATAAGTGAAATTAACATTCTGTAAGCCACTCTGAGTGTCTTTGTAGCAAGGTAATAATAATAATGATACTAATAATAATAATAATAATAATAATAATAAATAAGTGAAATTAACATTCTGTAAGCCACTCTGAGTGTCTTTGTAGCAAGGTAATAATAATAATGATACTAATAATAATAATAATAATAATAATAATAATAATAATAAGTGAAATTAACATTCTGTAAGCCACTCTGAGTGTCTTTGTAGCAAGGTAATAATAATAATGATACTAATAATAATAATAATAAAATAAGTGAAATTAACATTCTGTAAGCCACTCTGAGTGTCTTTGTAGCAAGGTAATAATAATAATGATACTAATAATAATAATAATAATAATAAGTGAAATTAACATTCTGTAAGCCACTCTGAGTGTCTTTGTAGCAAGGTAATAATAATAATGATACTAATAATAATAATAATAAATAAGTGAAATTAACATTCTGTAAGCCACTCTGAGTATCTTTGTAGCAAGGTAATAATAATAATAATAATAATAATAATAATAATAATAATAGGTGAAATCAACATTCTGTAAGCCACTCTGAGTGTCTTTGCAGCAAGGTAATAATAATAATAATAATAATAATAATAATAATAATAATAATAATAATAATAATAATAAATCACACAGTCCTAGATGCTTGGGAAGTGTTCAACTTGTGATTTTGTGATACGAAATCCAGCATATAGATCTCGTTTGCTGTGACATGGTGTGTTTTTGTGTCAGTAAATAATAATAACATAAAAATCACATAATAATAATAATAATAATCTGTTAGTATTAATAATATAAAAATATCATTGTAATAAGTGTCTAAATAATAATAAAAATCTATTAATAATTATAATAAATATCTAAGTAATATAAAATTGCTTAATAATAATAATAAGAAGAAGAAGAACAGCAACAACAACAACAACAAGCGGGGAAATTAACATTCTGTAAGCCACTCTGAGTATCTTTGTAGCAAGGTTAAAATAATAATAATAATAATAATAATAATAATAATAATAATAAATCTTAAATAATAATGATGGTGTTAATAATAAGAAAAAGAGGGCAAATTAATATTAGTAATAGTAATAATAATAATAATAATAATACCTTTTTGGCTCCCAGGGCAAGCGCCTTCTCTCTCGCCTTTTCAAAATCTTCATTTTGTCCGATGTTGGCCTGGAAGAGTAACGCAAAAATCAATCAATCAATCGATCGATCAATCAAATGTGGAATAATAACGAATTTTAAAATACTAAATGAATTATATTCCCAAAATTAGATATACAAACATATACTATAATAGTCCATAGCTGTGTTTTCATTTGTCCACATCTGACAAAATATGTCCTCTCTAGGCATTTTCTAGGTCCGCCAGCATGATTTCTATGACATCCTTTCTATGGCAGTCAAGAAGTCCCTGATTTCAATACAATTTGCTATTAATATTTATTTTGTTAATCCACATGTCGAAATATGTCCACCCTCCTAGGCATTTCTTAGGTCCTCCAATGCAACTCTCTGGTGTCATTAGCCATAGAGTTGTATAGGAGGACCCAGGGATTCCTAGAGGCCCCATTTCACGTGCTCTTTGACCTCTCTCCTTACCAGGTAAGCGATGACATCGTAGCCTTGTTCCTGGAGCCAGACTAAAATGCAGGAAGTGTCCAATCCGCCGCTGTAGGCGAGAACCACCAGGCCTTTGGAGCCAGACATCACTGGATCTATTACATAATAATAATAATAATAATAATAATAATAATAATAACAACAGCAACAATAATAGCAATTTATTTATTATCAGCCTCTCTCCTTCGGATCCATTAATAATAATAATAATAATAATAATAATAATAATAATAATAATAATAATAATAATAGATTGATTATCAGCCTCTCTCCTTCGGATCCATTAACAATAATAATAATAATAATAATAATAATAATAATAGATTGATTACCAGCCTCTCTCCTTCGGATCCATGAAATAATAATAACAATAATAATTTATTGATTATCAGCTTCTCTCCTTCGAATACATTAATAATAATAATAATAATAATAATAATAATAATAATAATAATAATAGATTTATTATCAGCCTCTCTCCTTTGGATCCATTAAATAATAATAATAGTTATTTATTTATCATCAGCCTCTCTGTTTGCAGCTAAAGGCTGACCATGGGAGTTGTAGTCCTGCAAGGCCACTTTGTCCCAGGCCTTTCCTTTCAAAATCTGAGGAATAAACATGTTCTGGGGAAAAATAAGGTTAATATGTAATGGAGGTTTGGCAATTCCTGTCTTCTTTTTCTCTAAAGAGAGAGAGATTTGGAAGCAGGGAACAAAGGGCAAAGAGTCACAAGGAGGAAAAGGGAGGCATCATATCTACCCAATGTTTCTCGTGTGTATGTATGTATGTGTATATATAACTCTGATATCCACATGTGTGTGTGTATATGCACATCACAGTTATATATCCAGTATATGTGTATATTATGTGTATATTATTATCATTAATGTGCATATGTATGTATATATGTATACAGTAGTATCTGTGTATATGATATGACTATATGTGTGTGTGTGTCTATATATATATCAATATATCTGTGGATATATTATGAGAATATATGTCTGTGTGTATACAGATATATATATATATACACACGTACTAGTATATGTGTGTATATGAGTATATATATGTCTACACATACACACACACACACACAGATACACAAAAGAATATGTGTGTGTATATTACCAGTATATATGTGTATATTAATAGTAGTATATATATAGTTGTGTGTGTGCATGTTTATGTGCATTGTATATACCAATATGTGTATATATATTAGTATCATACTCATCATTATATATGTGTATATTTATATATGCATATACCAGTATGCATTTGTATTATTATTATTATTATTACTACTACTAAATATGTGTACATGTTATATGTGTGTGTGGAATTATATACTGATATGTAAGTCTGTATAAATAATAATAATAATTATTATTATTATTATTATTTACTCCTATCCTTGCCTTTCTCCTCATTAGGATCTCAAGGCAGCTAACAATCACACAATTAAAATGAAACAAAAATACAAAGATTAAAATAAATGAAATAATTTTAACTTATTATCAAGTTAAAATACAGCAAAAACAATTAAAATTACACACATATACATACATGTGTGTATATATATCTCTTTTTAATGAAAGTAAACATGGCCACTCTAGCATCCAGATTCTAACAATAAATAGTGACTGAAACTACAGCAAATTTGCATTCAACCTGACCGTCACACAGGAAGGCAAGCCAATAAAAGACGCTGTATCTGGGCCAGGAGGGCCCGGGAATACTTTCCACTTAATTATACTCTCTTTTTTCCCCATGGAAACAAACCCAAAGGTTTGCAGCAGAGCCATGGCTTCGTTCGATTCCTTTGATTCTATCGTTCTATTCTATCAAAACTATAATTCTTTTGATTTTTTTTCATTTTAGTCCACCTTTCTGCTCCATTGATTCTATCATTTGATCAATTAATTCATTCTAATCCATTGATTCTATCAGATCTATCATTCTGTTCCATCAATTCTATCACTCCATTCTATCAATTCTATCACTCTATTCTATCGATTCTATCATTCTATTTCATCGATTTTATCATTCTGTTCCATTAATTCTATCATTCTATTCTATTGATTCTATCACTCCATTCTATCAGTTCTATCATTCTATTCCATCAATTATATCATTCTTTCATTCCGTTCAATTAATTCTATCATTCTATTCTATTGAATCTATCACTCCATTCTATCGATTCTACCATTCAGTTCAATTAATTCAATCATTCCATTCTATCGATTCTATCACTCCATTCTATCGATTCGATCACTCCACTCTATCGATTCGATCATTCCACTCTATCAATTCGATCATTCCATTCTATCAATCTATTCTGTCGACTATCACACCATTCTATCAATTCTATCGTTCTATTCCATCAATTCTATCATTCTATCACTCTATTCTATTGATTCTATCACTCTATTTCATCGATTCTACCATTCCGTTCAATTAATTCAATCATTCCATTCTATCGATTCTATCACTCCATTCTATCGATTCTATCACTCCATTCTATCGATTCTCTCAATCTATTCTATCGATTCTATCACTCCATTCTATCAATTCTATTATTCTATCAATTCAATCACTCCATTCTATTCTATCATTCTTTTCTATCGATTCTATCACTCCATTCCATCAATTCTATCATTCTATTTTATCAATTCAATCACTCCATTCTATCAATTCATATTTCATAATAATAATAACATAAAAGCAGTTTTAATAATAATAATACATATAAATAATAACAACAATAATTCAGAGTTAACATTATTATTTAATAATAAATAATACACAATAATAATAATAATAACAATAATAATAATAATAATTACAGCCGGGAAACAACACGACACTCCAATAACCAATATTATTATTGTGTTTCTACCACTGCTTTCCTCTCTTCTATTTCTCCAGAGTTTTACCTTCCAATATTTAAATATATAGCATTACGAAGCATTTATTAAAACAGATATAAAATGCAACTATAAAAGCACAGATTCAATAATAATAATAAATAATAATAAGTAATAATAATAACTTTAAAATACAGCCTGGAAACCACACGATACTCCAATTATAATAAATATTATTATTGTGCTTCTACCCCTGCTTTCCTCCCTTCCATTTCTCCAGGGTTTTACTTTCTGATATTTAAATATATTGCATTGAGAAAAAACCTATTAAAACAGAGATAAAATGCAACCATAAAAGCACAGATTTAATAATGAATAAAAACTAAAATATAATAATAATGATAATAAATACAGCTGGGTAATAATGCAACTATAAAAGCACAGATTTAATAATAATAATAATAATAATAATTTAAAAATACAGCTGGGAAACCACACACTTCAATAATAAATATTATTATTGTGTTTCTACCCCTGCTTTCCTCTCTTCCATTTCTCCAGAGTTTTACCTTCCAATATTTAAATATATTGCATTGACGAAAACCTATTAAAACAGAGATAAAATGCAACTGTAAAAGCACAGATTTAATAATAATAATAATAATAATAATAATAAATATCAGAAAGTAAAACCCTGGAGAAATGGAAAGGGGGAAAGCAGTGGTAGAAACACAATAATAATATTTATTATTGAAATGTTGTGTGGTTTCCCAGCTGTATTTTTAATTATTATTATTTATTAATATTATTATTATTAAATCTGTGCTTTTATAGTTGCATTATTACCCAGTTGTATTTATTATCATTATTATCATTATTTTATTTTTTATTCATTATTAAATCTGTGCCTTTTATCTCTGTTTTAATAGGTTTTCCTCAATGCAATATATTTAAATATCAGAAGGTAAAACCCTGGAGAAATGGAAGAGAGGAAAGCAGGGGTAGAAACACAATAATAATATTTATTATTGTTGTCGTGTGGTTTCCAGGCTGTATTTTTAAATTACTAGTATTATTATTATTTAATATTATGATATCTGTGCTTTTATAGTTGCATTATTACCCAGTTGTATTTATTATCATTATTATTATTATTATTTTATTTTTTATTTATTATTAAATCTGTGCTTTTACGGTTGCATTTTATCTCTGTTTTAATAGGTTTTCCTCAATGCAATATATTTAAATATCAGAAGGTAAAACCCAGGAGAAATGGAAGAGAGGAAAGCTGTGGTAGAAACACAATAATAATATCGATTTTTGGAATGTTGGGTGGTTTCCCGGCTGTATTTATTATTATTATTATTATTATTATTATTATTATTATTATTATTAATAATATTATTATTAAAGCTGTGCTTTTATAGTTGCATTTTATCTCTGTTTTAATAAGTGCTTCTTAATACAATATATTTAAATATCAGAAGCTAAGACCCTGGAGAAATGGAAGAGAGGAAAGCAGTGGTAGAAACACAATAATAATATTTTTATTGAAGTGTTGTGTGGTTTCCTGGCTGTATTTATTATTATTATTGTTTATTATTATTATTATTATTATTATATTTTTATTTATTAACAAATATTATTATTGTGTTTCTACCACTGCTCTCCCCAAATGCACACCAATCTTATTTATTTTTATTTATTTATTTAAGACATTTATATTGATATCTTGCATTTCTCCAGCTTTTGCATTCCGATATTTACACATTTGCACGAAATGACTGATTTGCAAGGTTTTGCTTACCGGGAAATTGAGCAAAGGGAAGCCAAGGAGATGATGATGATGGTGATGGTGATGATGATTTGTGTCCCTTCTTTTTCCTGGAATATATAAACTGAGACAGGAGGAGGAGGAGGAGCTGGGACTCGAGGAGGAGAATTCCCTTGTTTCTGGATTTGCCCAAAAGCAACCCTTTCCTTTCCCCAAAAGCAAACCCCGCGCAATGTCCAAAGTCTACGCGCTCTCAAACCTTGAGCCGGTGACGAGTTTCCTTGCAGACAAAGTACAACCTTGGACTATTTATTTTTTTCCAAATTCTTTTTAATGGCCATTTTGGGGGCAACGTCCATAACATCACAACCCAGACATATACAAACACACTGCAATGCTACAAATCCCAAATGCCCCCCCCCCCGCCCCCCAAAAAACTAATATTTGCAAGACAGGAAGCAGAGCCTGTTTTTTTTTTATTTTGGAAAGTATTCCCATTTTCGTCTCCAAAAAATAAAAAAAAGGAGTTGAAACCCAAGTGGCTTTCAATAGCGGCGGTTCATCTTCTTGAACTTCTCGTAATGATAATCGTCGGTCGCCTTTTCGTTGGGCGGGCGCTTGCGGTTCGGCGGAGATCCTGCAAACGAAAATGTAAACAGTAGACGATACACTTCCGAAAATCATAATAATAATAATATCATAATATAACAGGTTATTTAAGAGAGGAAAGAAATAAGTGCAATAATAATAATAATTATGATAATAATAATATATTTATTTATTTTATTTTATTTATTTACTGCATTTGTTGACCGCCGTTCTCAGCCCTAGGGCGACTCACGGCGGTGTACAACATATAAAAAACAGTTTACAATAAGGGAATATCACAACAAAATATCAACATAACTATCAACAATACAATACAACATGTTATTTAAGAGACGAAATAAATAAATGCAATAATAATAATATAACAGGTTATTTAAGAGATGAAGGAAATAAATACAATAATAATAATAATAATAATAATAATAATAATAATAATATAGGTTTTTTAAGAGAGGAAAGAAATAAGTGCAATAATAATAATAATAGGTTATTTCAGAGATTAAAGAAATAAATGCAATAATAATAATAATAAAAATAGGTTTTTTAAGAGAGGAAAGAAATAAGTGCAATAAAAGTAATAATAATAATAATAATGGGTTATTTAAAAGACGAAAGAAATAAATGCAATAATAATAATAATAATAATAATAATAATAATAATAATAATGGGTTATTTAAGAGACGAAATAAAAAATCAATAATAATAATAATAATATAATAACAGGTTATTTAAGAGACAAAAGAAATAAGTGCAATAATAATAATAATAATAATAATAATAATAATATAACAGGTTATTTAAGAGATGAAATAAATAAATTCAATAATAATAATAAAACAGATTATTTAAGAGACGAAAGAAATAAATTCAATAATAATAATAATAATAATAATAATAATAATAATAATATAACAGGTTATTTAAGAGACGAAAGAAATAAGCGCAATAATAATAATAATAATAATAATAATAATAATAATATAACAGGTTATTTAAGAGATGAAAGAAATAAATTCAATAATAATTATTATAATATAATAGGTTATTGATGAGATGAAAGAAATAAATGCAGCAGCAGTAGTAATAATAATAATAATAATATAACAGGTTATTTAAGAGATGAAAGAAATAAGTCAAATCTATATAAATAAAAGTGGTAACAGCAACGCATGGCGGATACAGCTAGTAATGAATATAATAAATATAATTACCATAATATTGCAATAAAAATAATATTAAATGTATAACAACAAGGGAGTGAACTTACTTTCTGGTTCCGGCTTCTCCGTATCTCCGACCCGCAACGGACGTGCTTTGGGTTCCTCTTTATTCCTCCTCACCGGTGCATTCAGCTCTTCATGGTAAACTGGAAAGAGACACCCCAAAAATACTGAATACGATGTCAGAAACGACGGCAAAACCATGAGTCTCCTCCTTCTCTCTTTTCACGTGGTTTGCCTTCTTTCCACTACATCAAACCAAGGTTTGCCCAGAATATAAACACATAGACACGGAAATGGGACTCACATCGGTTGTGCTGGACGTAGTTGACGGCCATGTTTGTGGGCACGAAGGAGGTCTCGTTGTCCTTCTTTTTGTTCTGCTGCTCCGCCAGGAGACGCGCTTTGGCCTCTTCGGTGGAGATGATGTTCTTGATTTTGGCCCTAAAACAACAGACGAGGAGGAGGCGGAAAGAAGGAAAGAGTTTTCATGCCCTATTTGCATTATTATTATTATTGACACATAAACACAGTATGTCACAGCAAACGAGATATATATGCTAGATTTTGTATCTCAAAATATTATTATTATTATTATTATTATTGACACATACAGTATGTCACAGTAAACGAGATATATATGCTAGATTTCGTATCTCTAAATTATTATTATTATTATTATTATTATTATTGATACATAAACACAGTATATCACAGCAAACGAGATGTATTATTATTATTGTTGTTATTGTTATTATTATTATTATTATTATTATTATTATTATTATTAATCTAGCTTTCCTCTCTTAAAAGAGACCCAAAGCCCTGCCTGAGAGCAAGGACATATTATTATTATTATTATTATTATTATCCTATCTCTTTCTTTCTTTTTCCCCTCCTCTCTCCCTCCTTCCCTTCTTTTCCTCCTCTTCTCCCCTCCTCCCTGCTTCCTTCTCCTCCCCTTTTCCTTCCTTCTTTTTTTCCTCCTTCCCTTCTTGCCTTCCTTTTTCTCCCTTCCTCTGTCTCCTTCCCTCTTTCCTTCCTTCAGCCCCTCCTCCCTTTCTTTTTCCTTCCTTACATTTTCTCCCTTCCTACTTCCCCTTTTCCTATCTTCCTTCAGCCCCTCCTCCTCTCTTTTCCTTCCTTCCTTTTCCCCTCCCTTTCTCTTTTCCCTTCCTTCCTTTTTCTCCCCTCCTTCCATCCTTGCCTTTCAGCCCCTCCTCCCCTTTTCCTTCCTTTTACCCCTTCCCTCCTTTATCTTCCTTTCTTCCCCCTCTCTCCTTCTTTTTTCTCTCCTTCTTCCTTTTTCTCCCTTCCCTTCCTCCTCCTTCCTTCCTTCTACTCCTCCTCCCCTTTTCTTTTCCTTCCTTTTCCCCCTCCCTCCTTTCTTTTTTCCTTCCTTCCTTCTTTTCTCCCTCCTTTCCTTCCCTCTCTTTTTGTTCCTTCAGCCCCTCCTCCCCTTTCTTTCCCTTCCTTCCTTTTTCTCCCCTCCTCCTTCCATCCTCCCCTTTTTTTCCTTCCTTTTATCCCTCTCCTTTTCCTTCCTTCGTTTCACTCTCTCCTTCCTTTTTCTCTCCTCCTTCCCTTTTTCCTTCCTTCCCCTGTCTCCTTCCCTCTCTCCTTCCTTCCTTCAGCCCCTCCTCCCTTCTTTTTTCCTTCCTTTTTCCCCCTCCCTCCTTCCCTCTTTTTCCTTCCTTCCTTCTTTTCTCCCCTCTTTCCTTCCCTCTCTTTTTCTTCCCTCTCCCTTCTTTTCCTTCCTTCCTCCTTTTTCTCCCCTTCTCCTTCTCCTCCCTTTTTCTTTCCCTCCTCCTTTTCCTTCTTTTCCCCTCCCTTCTTCTCCTTCCTTCCTTCCTTCCTTCCTTCCTTCCTTCCTTCCTTCCTTCCTTCCTTCCTTCCTTCCTTCTCCTTTTCTTCCTTCCTTCCTTCCCTTTTCCTCCCTCCACCCCTCCTTTTTTCTTCCTTCCTCCATCTTTCCTTCCTTCCTTTCTCCCCTCCTTCCCCTTTTCTTTCATTCAGTCCCTCCTCCACCTTTTCCTTCCTTTTCCCCTCCCTCCTTTCCTCCTCCTTCCCTTTTCCTTCCTTCCTTCCCTTCCTCCTTCTCTTTTCCTTCCTTCCTTTCCCCCCCTCTCCTTCTCTTTTTTCTTCCTTCCCTTTTCTCCCTTCCTTCCCCTCCCCTTTTCCTTCTTCCTTCTCCCTCCTCTCTCTTTTCTCCTTCCTCTTCCCCTCCCTCTTTCTCTTTTTCCTTCCTTTCCTCCCTTCTTCTTCCTCCTTTCCCTTTTTTCCTTTCTCCTCCCCTTTTCCTTCCTTCCTTCCCCTTCTCTCTCCTTCTTTTTCTCCCTTCCTTCCTCTCCTTCCCTTTTTCCTTCCTTCTTCCTTCCCCCCTCTCCCTTCCTTTTCCTTCCTTCTTTCCCCCCTTCCTCCTTCCCTCTCTTTTTCCTTCCTCCCTTCCTTCTTTTCTCCCCTCCCTCCTTCCCTCTCTTTTTCTTTCCTTCAGCCCCTCCTCCCCTTTCTTTCCCTTCCTTCCTTCTTCTCCCCTCCTTCTTCCATTTCCCCCTTTTTTCCCTTCAACCCGTCCTCCCTTTTTCCTTTTACCCCTCCCTCCTTTTCCTTCCTTCCCTTTCCCTCTCCTTCCTCTTTTTTCTCTTCCTCCTTCCTTCCTTCTCTCTTCCTCCTCCCCTCTCCTCCTTCCTTCACCCCTCCTCCCTTCCTTTCCTTCCTTCTTTTCTCCCCTCCTTCCTTCCCTATCTTTCTCTTTCCTTCAGCCCCTCTTCCCTTTCTTTTCCTTCAATCCTTCCTTTTTCTCCCCTCTCTTTTTCCTTCCTCCTATTGACAACATATTCCTATTGATGCGGTCTGGGAACGCCTTGGCCTTTTGCGTGGCCACCTGCCCCCCCCCCCCGGGCTCACGCTCAGCCTGGCCGACCCCCCCCCCCTGTTCCCTGGGCTGGCTGTTGTGGGGTGCCCTACTCGATGCCGAGGTCGACTTCGGGGATGCCGCTGAGCATCTGGTTGGAGAGCATCTCTTCCGTCTTCTTGGCCGAGGAGACGCGGATGCTCTCGGGCAGCTCGTACAGGCAGTCCTCCGCGTTCTTGGCCTTCACCTTCTGCTCCTCGCTCTCCACGATGCCCTTCCGCTTCTTCAGCTCCGTCTCAATGTACTTCATCCTGGGAAGGAGAAAGAGGAACAACAACTCCCATCATCTTCACTCCGTCCTCCCCCAACCCTCATGTGGCCATTGGCATGACTGCAAGGAGTGCGGTTACCTTCCCGCTGGAACGGTACCTATTGGTCTACTCACATTTGCATGCTTTTGGACTGCTAGGTTGGCCGAAGCTGGGGCTAACAGTGGAAGCTCACCCCGCTCCCTGGATTCAAACCTGCGACCTTTTGGTCAACAAGTTTAGCAGCTCAGCGGTTTAACTCATTTCACCACTGGGGGCTCCAAAACTATATTATATCTGTAATATATATTATATTATATTACATTATAATATAATATATATATTATATAATACCATACTATAATATAATATAATATAATATATATAATATATATAATATATATTATATAATAAATAACAATATAATATATATATATATTATATTATATTAATATAATATATATTATATATATATTATATTATATATATATTATATTATTATATATATTATATTATTATTATATATAATATATTATATCTAATATAATATATATGTATATTATATTATATTGTTTGGTGTGTATTATAATATATAATAATCTATATTATAATATATAATATTATATTATTTTAATAATACGATAAATGTGTACTATTTAAAAAGCAATAATACAAAAACTGCTGTCATGACCCACTTTTCAATAGAAATTGCAAATTGAATTTGTAATCAAAAACGGGAGGGGGGAGGGTTAAGGTTTTGAAAATTAGGCTGCACATTATGTTAGATGGCACAATGTATTCACGTAAATATGGTAGAATAGGACAAAAAAGGCTTACATGTCAGCATCTTCGTCCCTCCGGTTGGTCTCTGCTGAAAAGGACGTCCCGAGGTTGAGATCCTCTTCTTCGCTGATCCTACAAAATGGATAATAATAATAATAATTATTATTATTATTATCATCATCGTTTACAAAATAGGTTGTATTTCTTCAATGGTAAGACACCATCAACTGTCAGATGCACCAAAATTTCAATCCCAAAAACACAAAATTCTAAGATGCATCTCATTTTTTGGGATGTTTATATATGGAAAAAGTTGAAGTAATACAGGAAATACCAAAACGGAATATTAGAATGATTAAAACAAGGGAAAGCGTGGTTAAAAACCATGGCTAACTCCATGCAAACTATACAATAATTTGTACTTTTCGTCCAGGACTGAGACCCAAAGTGACTCGCGGCCTTAAGAACTATACGATTTGAGAGGGAAATGGCAGATAAAAATAATAATAGTAATAATAACAATAATAATAATAATGTTTCCTGCACTTGGCTAATAATATAATATAATATAATACAATATATTGTATATACATATAATATTTATAATATTATAATGTAATACTACTACTAATAATAATACTATATTATAGTTATATATTTTATATTACATGTAATATTACTAATATTATTACAGTATAATGGTATTTTACAATATAGTAATATATTATACTAATATTGTGCTATGATAATAATATAATAATATAATACATTATATTTACATATTATTTGTAAGTTGCTCTGAATCCCCTTTGGGGTGAGAAAGGGCGGCATAGAAATGTCGTAAGTAAGTAAATAAATAAATAAATAATAATTGTGTCTCCTGCACTGGCTAATAATATAATATAATATAACATATTGTATATACATATAATATTGATAATGTGATAATGTAATATAATATAATACTAATAATACGATATTATAATTATATATTTTATATTGCATGTAATATTACTAATACTATTACAGTATAATAGTATATTACAATATAGTATTATATGATACTAATATTGTGTTATGGTTATAATATAATATATTGTGTTTACATATTACTTGTAAGCCGCTCTGAGTCCCCTTCGGGGTGAGAAGGGCAGCATATAAATGTAATAATATATTTACATAAAACTTGTACGCCGCTCTATAAATGTCGTAAATAATAATAATAACAATAATAATAATAATACCTGTCTTTACCCCGTTCTTTCAGCTTCTTCATGTCCACCATGCCGCCCGTCTTGACCTTAAAAGGATCATCCTGGTAAGGAGAGAAGGAAATTGGGAGAAAAAGGACTGTTTACGGTCCGATCATACGTAGTTGTGGGTGAACTACAACTCTCAACATGCCAGGTTAACCCCGAGGAGCTTGTCTATGTAAGCGGACACCCCAGCCACATACACACATACAGATTTTCACTTTATTATTGTTTATAGATAAAGAGATTATTATATATATTGGAGGCCTAAACAGAGCGCATTTTGAGGTCTCTGAACACAATCTTACCACCAAAGTGGTCTCTTCTGGTAGCTTTTCTCCCACGAGCAAAGCGGCCGCGCTGGGGGAAAAAAGACACATTTATCAAAACTAGATTTATTTCAAGGTGGAGAATTAAACACCTTTCTTTCTCCCTTTCTTCTCTGTTTCCTTCTTCCTTTTCTTTCTCTTTTCCTCCCTTCCTTTTTTCTATTTCTTCTCTTCCTTCCTTATTTTTTACCTTTTTCTTTCTCCCCTTTTCCGCCGTTTCTTTCTTCTCTTCCCTCTCTTTTCCCCCTTTCTTCTCTTCCTTCTCTCTCTCTTTCCATCCTTTCTTCCTTTCTAACCTTTCTCCCCTTCTTTTCTTCCCTATTTGCGGCCTCTCTTTCTCCCCTTCCTCCTTCTCTCTTTTTCTCCTTTCTCTTTATTATCTT